GACTGTGCTAATGACAGCTACTTTGTGCTTCCATTCTTATACTTACACTTTGATTGTAACTTCGCGCGAATTCGGTTACGTTCTGTAACCAAGCTTGTATCCTGGCACGATCTCGGTATCCTTTCGATGCCACGAGATCGCCAGCTAATAAACCTCGACTTGGTCCATTAACTGTCTTCTGGTATTCGGCTTCTCGGGGATTTTATGGAGTCATTTGGAACGAGCTTCTTACGCCTTCTGATTCGCTTGGCACGTGTTTCTTGGTAGCTGTGTTCATAGTTAATCTCGACTCGACACCACGCTACAATTTGTAATCCCAATTCGACCACAATTGGTGAGCCCGACGTGATAAACGTGAGTCGCTACACCCCTCCTCAGTCGTCGCGATCTGGGGAGGGGTTACTCGTTTCCCACTGTCTTGGAATTATGCTTAGGCCAGGCGCATGGTTGCATGCACTTGGTTGAGTTGACACCAAACTTCCAGTGGTACCAACAAAACTGCCCAGATTGTCTGGACATTTGTGACCTGTTTTGTGACTTGGATCGTGGTCGTTGTGGTGACCTGCTCCTGTTTCTATGACCCATTTGCATTCTGGTGACAGCCTCAGTGAGACTCTTAACACTCGCAATGAGTCCTTCTATGACGGGGTGACAAATATAGCAATAAAGTTAGCACAAAAAGTGGTTACTATAACACGAATAACTTAAGATAATACGGAATAAACTAGTTATATACTCAAATTAGTTACGGATAATCAGGTCTACTTTTACGATTAAGTAAAAAAATGTTAATAACAGAAATGAGGTTAAATTTGTGTTCAAAAAGGGCTCACCAATTTCGTGCCTTAAAGTAACCCTCGTGCTATTGATAGAAGAAACCAGACAGGTAGTGAATAGGTCTTTATTTCGATCTTAGCGCGGTCACAGTGGAGCGTGGGATTATCTGTTCAGACAAACAAAAGCCCTCAACATTCAATATAAGATAATAGGGAATATAACGCTTATAAAAAATAAAGAAGTGAATGAATACTTGAACAATACTGTTTTGGCCTATGATTGGTTGTTTGGGGTCAATTCTTAACCAACCAACCCAAGCTGTTACATAGCCACAAAACTGTAGACTCGACATGACGTCATTACCTGGTTTATAAGACCTTACGTTGAAGTCACATCATAGTGTGCACTGACTCCTTATATCGCGACAATCGGCAATAAGACGTCTAGTATATTTGAAGGACACACTTCGACTGGAGATAAAATAGTATACTCCATGTGAAAAGGTATGAGCTACACAGATAAACACTCCTACTAGGTTGAGCCATGTCATGCAGATATAGTGTTCCCGTGTTTTCAATTATTGACTTTCCCTAGGTGCTACATGTTAGATGGAAATCTCAGTAATTATATGCTCAGTTTCGTAGAGAGTATGGTTAGGGACCAAGCACCACAAAGTCACATAACTTAAGTGGTACACAACAGGACGGAGATCTTCTGAGTAAATGCTGTTGCTCGTTGGGCATGGTGATGATAGTAAATTCGAAAGCTACTTGCACTACGAGAGGTAAGAGAAATAAGCAGTGGATAGACGCGGTGATCTACTACCAGTACAGGTATCTGAACAACTTATGGATAAAACAAAAGTAATTTATGTTTTTATGAGACTGAAAATAATACTCTCTAAAACTCGAATAAGACAGAATGAATTACTAGGACCCATTCAAAACATTGCCAGATTCAAATCGACTACAGGGAACATCGAGGAGACTTTCTTCCTAAACTCCAAGTTTTGTGTCATCGTTTTCTACCCAAGCGTTTCGATTTTATTTTAGTCAGCAGACTGAAGTGCGACCGGTGAGGTTTTTGACACACACACTAAATACCACGCCGGTAGCCACAGAAATGCTCAAGACTAAATGTCTGTCCCTAACATAAAACGAGTGACTCTTCAGGCACCTCTTTTCAGTCGTTGAGTCCTGTCGGGGGGTGCTCGTTTCCCATATTCTTGGGAGTCTGTTTGGACCAAATACATGGTTGACTACATATGGTTGATTTGACACCAAAATTATAGTGATAGCAACAGCACTTCCTAGATTGTCTGGACGTTTGTGACCTACCCTGTGACTTGGGTCTAAGTCGTTGCGGTGACTTGCTCCTGTTTCTACGGCCCATTCGCATTTCGGTTACAGCTTTTGTAAGACTCTTAACACTTACAACGAGTTCTGATATGACTGGGTCTTTTGATGGTTCTTTGTTTCGTATGTGATGTATAGTAGATGACCCAGTTAGGGACTTCGTCCCATTATTCCCTCTGCAATACGCTCTGAGTAAGATGGAGAGGTGTTCAGGTATTGAGCACCGAAACAGTGTTGGATGTAGCACAGGAAAGCTTGCATCTATCTTTTTTTAAGGACTGCTTTACACAGTGTGTTATCGCCGATTAGGACTTGATGGTGAGCTATCATCCCACATTTCTCCTTGTAAAATCTTTTAGATTCTTTGGTTGTCTGACAGATAGAGATGGTTCATTATCTCTCGTTTGAAAATTGTGTGTGGTTTAGATGCTGGTGGACTCAAAATTAAGTCACGGACTTCTTTGACAACTGAAGGAGGGGGAAGAGTATATATATATATTAATGTGACATGAAATGCTTAACGAATAACTTAAACACGAATACTTTGTGATAAAGGACAATATATATGTAAACGTATATACATATAAGGAGTTTATGTTGAAGATGATCAGAAGGTTTGCTCTACGACTAAGAAAACAAAAGTAATAAGCAAAACAGAAATTAACATTGTGTTCAAAACGGGGCTCACCTATTTCTTGCTGGTGAGAAGCTTCATTTGATCTTTCGAAGAAGACAGACTAGTAGTGAATAGGTCTTCAGTTAGATCGTGGAGCAGAACAGATTGAGCGCCTAGTCATCCTTTTCAAACACACAAGGTTATTTCGACATTCAATACAGAATAATAAGAAATAGGAAGTGGATACATACTTAAGCTCTGATATTTTGACATTACTAAGATGTTTACATCTCATTGTTAAGTAATCAACCCAATTTGTTACAGTTTTGCCTCTAAACTAACACAAAATTTCGTATTTACCCAAGGTTCAATACAGAAAACAGCTTCTACACCCTGTCTCCTTACCTTAACAGGGAAAGTATCATGATGCCTTATATAGCAAATAATTATCTTTAACCAAATAGGTCAGTCAGATGGGCTGGTATATACTTGTCAGACTGTCATTGGTATAACAGATATGCAAACAGGGATTAACGGTTAAAAGTCTACCAATAATACGCTATTAGAATAAAAGCATCATCACCAGTAGTTATTGTCTTCCACAGTTTGTGGAGGCTCGGGGGTGGCTCCTTAAGAAAGCCATCTACTTCGCTTTGGAAACCCTGACATCACAGCCCTCACACAAATCGACGATAACCATCATTGGCCTCACTGGTATTGTGTTTAGCATATGTATTTGGTGCCCCATTTTACCCATGTTATGTGTTCAAATAAATAAATATAATAAACAATTCCCATTTTCTCCCACTTACTAGTAAACGTTTGTGTGTTTGAGCAAGACAGCCCTGACCCTACTTGCTTCCCTTATTGTGTAGCAAAAGCTGAGACCAGACTTAGTGACTTTTCTCGATATTACTAACTAATGAAGGTTGAACGATTAAACCCAACAAACGTACGCGTGCCGCTCAGTTAGTATTCTTGCTTCACTAGAGTCAGATGAAACAGTGTAAGTTGAGTTTCCACCACCCAACAATTTTTCACTCTGGTTCATACTAACCTGTCGACCAGGATATTCTGCTTCTCTAGCACGCTTAGAGAACAAAACAAATCTTGTTAGGAATACATGTATATAAATCCCCAGTGAATAAAACGACAGAGGGTAAGTTGCGGTTATTTTGCCACACGTTGCAGGTCCACTGTATCACCTAACTAATTCATGTCCGACTTCATAAGTTAAAATAAATTACATTTCTCTCAGTGATCGGTGTTCCAAGTTTGAGATACGTTTGACCTTACGGATAATTTGTCCAAAATACTTGTGTTATTTCGCTGGTCCTACAAGCACTACATTACACTTATGAATACAAAATTTTTGAATACATAACCAAATAACTTGCATTAAAATTCATTATAACGTTCATAACAGGAAGTTGTGGAATTCCCTGAAGAGTGCCATATCGATGAAACCTTCACTAATCGTCTCAAAAGAAGGCATACACCATTCCTCAATTCCGCAGATACTATTGGCGAGTAAATAGGTGTCAATAACTTCTCCCATCGTTGAACATGTAGATCACCAATGTGGATGATCCATTTGTACAGTTCCAATCTTCTTGACTTGGCCAAGAATGTTGTGACCTTGTTTGAGTCAATGTCACGCCCCACAGTTGATACCTAGAGTTAATTACCTCCTCTTGATACCCAGGTGCTGAGGCTACTTCGATGACCATCTAGATAAATATGACGTTACCGAGGAAATATATTAGTAAGCAAAGATTGAAAAAACATAGCGCAACCATGGCCTCATGATCCAGCCTATAGCATGCAGCCAGTTGATAGGCTTTAGTCATCTCTCACCCTAGAGATATTCGACGTACCATCTAACGATCAGATGCCTGAAGTTTAAGGTAGATACAGTTCAGCTAAAGCTCCCAAAAAAACCCTGTACCCATATTTTCTAGATTCAGAGGAAGCAGAATAAAAGCTCCATCTCTCAATAACCAAAAACGTTTCTCTGCTACTAGATATAGATTCAAAGGCACAAACGTTTTGCTATTTCTACCTGGTAAAGTTGAAAGTGAAAACTTAATATGCACAGAAGTTTAATACGAAGTGAATAGAACAAACTATCTTTTTTTACAAACAAAATGTAAAAAATCAGAAAAGTCTCTCCTGAATACATAGAAGTTCAAAGTTTCTATGAGGATGATATTTTGATAACTGAAAATGTAAAGTGAAGACGCGACTTTTTTAATTGGAGCCGCACGAGCGGCAATTTAATATGGGCGGTATGTTGTGGTTCCTACTCTGCCCTTACTTGTTGTTAACTTCTGGGTATATTCAGGAGTGTTTTTCTCATACGATAATCACTATTGAACATGGGTCATTCACGAACATTACTGTCAATGGGTTGGTGTATGTCGAAGTTATCAAAATTCCGCCGTGGAGCAAATTTGTTGTGTATCAAGTACACAGCCCCTTCAACCCACTACTAGTGTCCACATCAGCCTCGTTTACATATGACACTTCACAATACTCGGCTCACTGCGGCTTAGCTAGTTTTGTTGAAAACAAAACATTGTCGACATTCTACGTTTATTCTACCTATAGTGTTCCGCTAATTGTGTGGGTTAAAGCTGTTGCATATGGATCAGAATGTATGTTTATGGTAGTGTTATATATCTATCATTGTAGTTCCATTGCCAGGTGGTTGTGGTCGTAGTTCGCGTAGTGGTTTCATGAATGCAGCCATCACTACAGATATAATGACTAAAAATATAAATCTTTCAAGCTCGAAACGCATTGAGTTTTTAAGCTATTGGACGTCTTCTCTCCAGCTCTCTGCAGCTTCGGCACCTGTCGGATCAGGCGGTTTTGCGTGTTCTCACTGGATTACCGAAAGTAAGCCATCAGGGAGCCTAGTTTATCACGTTTATGGTACACCACTAATAACTGCTGGTGGTTCTTATGGAGCCTTCGTAAATCCTAGTCCCAGTGAAGTTGCATCAGTCTTAAAAAACATGGCCAACTTTGGCCATTCGTCATTTGTTGGTACTTACATACAGTCATTTCACCAGAGGTAAGTGTCTCATTGGCGTTATTGTCATTGGTCTCAGGAACGTTATGTGTACAGTCATATAAGTTACGCAAGAACTTCACAATACTGAAAGTTTGTTTCAAGCTTAGGTGCCGTGTGTCTATTCAACATTACACATTTATAGATATAGCTCACATCGAACCCACTCAAAGAACGGTGGCAAGTTTTAGTTTAGGTTTTGTACCCTTCCGTTCTTGGGCTTTGATCTGTTTTAAATTTAGTGTACCTTCACATGTAATAGCAAATGATCAGTCACGTTTTTGATAACCCTAATTTCCAAAATATGGCTTTAGTTCTTTGATTTTAAGCTAAAAAGAGCTAGGTTTCGATTGTGGATAGTCGAATGCTAATTCCCCTAAGGCACGAATTCACTACGTGCCGCTCAGTATTTTCGGTTTGTTATTGATATACTATTTCACTTGTTCTGTACCTATGTATTATAAGTCGCTTATTGTGGATGTTTTCCGTACACTTTAGTCAGTTTATATGAATTACTTTAAGGAGCATCAGTTTTGTATTACTATTATTTATTTATTTATTTGAATATATAAATATTGGTACAAAGGGGCACCGAATACATATGCACCACACAAGTCAATTGATTAATGCATGGGCTATGATGCTGCCCGGGTGGCCAAACATAGGCAGTGGTTTTCTTAAGGCACCACACCCAGAGCCTTCGACCTAAAGGTAGCGAAGCAACGTCAGGCGATGCAGTCCCATGGTAGCGGGTGACCAATGATTGGTTCATGCGCCATTTGCGCAGCATTGGTTTGGAATCATGGTTTTTCAGCTCCCCTAGGTGAACCCTCCGAGTCAACCAACCCGGTTAAACCTCCGAGCATTCGGTTTCCGTCCGGCAGTGAGTGGGACTTCCCTGGTAGTGATTGTATATGCGTGGCCATGTGGGAGCATTTCGGGAGAGAGCTGACTCCCTTCTCTGACGTACCAGGGCGTTTGGGGGCTTTATATTACTAACGTAAGCCTAAAAGGGAAATAAGATTTTAAGTTTGTTGTCAGTTTTCTTATTGCTGCATATTTTGGTAGGATTTGAATGTATCAACTAAGTTTACCCTGGATCTTGTTTTAATAGTGAATTCACACCAAATGATGAATTTATTAACATAATCGTCTCACGTCGTCCAGCTACAGCATATATTGTCACTGTTGTTGTGGAGTATTCAATTTCTGGTGATACATGGCAAGTGCCATATATTCCTGTCATTCTTTTTGGTTGCCCTGCACAAATTTCACCCAGTTTCTACCGTACTGTATATAACCAACCCACTTCAAATGCTAGTTTGGAAGTCAACTGTGGTACTCTTCCTAAAGATACACCAGTTATCCTGTTTCCCGTTGCTGTCTTGCTTCTTGCAGGTTTTCTATATGCTACTTCATGTAATATGTGGATTTGGCCCCGTAAGTTTTTGTTTCTGTACAGACGCTTATTTGTTTTCAGAGCTTTATACTTAAAGTAAGCTTCTGTAGTCATGCACTGTTTCTGACCATTAAGTGTTACTGTCAATGGAAGCTAATTATACCAATAAGTAGTGGACATGATTTAAGCTGTTGATCTTAGGCTTAGTTGTTATAGTGTCTTCAAAGTTTCTTTTTCCTATTACAACCAAAGCGATCATTATGGTAGTTCACTTAATTTCATCATAAGGGTTATTACAAAAGTATATATCTATTTAACAAGTACATCCCGTTCGAAAAAATCGGCGAGACTCTAATTTAGCGACGACCTTTGAACGAATCCTAAATGACCTTGATAATTATTAGCCAATCAGAAGACAGTTAGTATAAAGTGAGAATATATTGTAAGTAAGTAATGAATTACAGTGGATATTCTTCTTTTACATGATTTAAAAACTTGTTAAGGTTTGATAAAGGTTCAGAGGCTCTGAATTCATAATGCATATTGTATATAAACTCGTCCATAGAGTTAGTGGTTAGGGTTGTAGCCTGTCAATAGACACCTCTTCTCTAAAATCCGATCGCATGTTAGCACCCTCATCCTAACCTAACCCTAAACCCTAATCTAACTCAAACCGTAACCTAACCCTAAATCCTAACCTTAACCCTAATCTAACCATAACACTAAACCCTAATCTAACCCTAACCCTAAACCTTAATCTAACCCTAAATCCTAACCTTAACCCTAATCTAACCCTAACCCTAACCATAACCCTAAACCTTAACCTAACCCTAAACCCTAATCTAACCCCAAACCCTAACCTTAGCCCTAAACCCTAATCTAACCCCAAACCCTAACCTTAGCCCTAAACCCTAATCTAACCCCAAACCCTAACCTTAGCCCTAAACCCTAATCTAACCCTTAACCCTAATTTTAACCCCTAACCCTAACCCTATGGACGAGTTTCTATACAATATGCATTATGAATTCAGAACTTCTAAGCCTTTATCAAACCTTAACAAGTTTTTAAATCATGTTAAAGAAGAATATCCACTGTAATTCATTACTTTCTTGTAATATATATTTTCACTTTATACTGTCTTCTGATTGGCTAATAATTGAAATTGCTCAAACGCTTCTCATTGGCTCGTCCCTAAATTAGAGTTTCGCCATCCCGTCTGTTTTAACCTCTCATTAATCACCTCTCTAAAATCCGCTGTGAACCGACCGTATGTTAGCATCGCGTGTTGAACTTGGCTCCGTGACCTTGAAATTGCTCAAACGCTTCTGATTGGCTCGTCGCTAAATTAGAGTCTCCCCAAAAAATCTAATCTTTCAATGTTTACTCGCAACCAGTTTAAAAATGTCAAAAAATTGCTTTACATACCCAGTTTTTAGTGTAAATACATATTTTGTTTCATTCAACTCTACCACATTAGAATAGTACTTCAATGATCAACTGGTTTATGTATTAGTTATATGCATTAGGTAGATGAAGTGTAGTCAGTTTCCAGAATCAGTTAGTCAGTTGTGTTCAAATCTTATTTCCATGCCCACTTTTTACTTTCAGATCTCGAGTTTTAATATAATTCCATACTCCTGATTCATGGATTCTATTAGTTCTTTTTAAAGTACATTTCTTAGTTCTAGTCTTTTGCTATCGTTGTAACAGGTATTAGTTCGACTCCTTTGACCCTTATTTTTTGACTTTGATGGTGATGTATAGTGCAACAATTTGGGTCGATGTAAATTTGCGCTAGGTTCTTCATTTTCATGACTGTTTGAGACTAAATCATACATACAGTTTAGAGCTGTAAACGTCTGATGGACCATCATATATTTTATCAAATATATTGCAGTAAGTTTATGATGTCATGTGATATGCTTTTGCAAGGTTAGTCTTCACTTTGTCTAAAGCCTTATATGTCTCTTAGTTAGTTTTCAGCTGTTATGCGATATTACTTATCGTTCAAGTGGAGGTTCAAATTTCGACTCCAATACCCATTTATCAGTAGATGCGGTCAGTTTAATGCCATTCGAACTCACTGATTACTCAAATAATGTTGATACTTTCTAGGAAGCAAGGATAATATTAGTAAAAGAGAAGTATTGTTGAAGGCCTACGATACAATACCTTTTCGCCTGTTTTTGCTTCGGTTTGTTATGGTATTTGATTTTCCATTATGTCTTACAGTGAATTGAGAAATAATGTTATGCACTCTTTCGTATATTTTTGGCTGTGGTTGTTTATACGTTGGTGCACCGTACTCCGACTTCAGTATTGTGAATGAAACTACTTCTATCCCCTTCTTTTCCCTGTCCCACTAGCTAGTATAAAAACACCAGTCTTGCAGACGAAGCTATGCGATGTTGATTAATTAATCAAAATACATTAAGTTTTCCCATGATCTATTCAAAAAAATGATCAGAATATTTAAACCAAGTACTTTAAAATATCGTAAAAATGCGTTGAAATTTCGCGAATAGTGTTCACATTATATAATTTGCTGTAACAGAATTTCAACCTAATTGATACTGATTTCCTTTTCATGAGTTGTAATTTGAAATTATGTATCCCCCAACAATTGTGCATGCAAAATTACCTTATACTTATAGGTTGTGAGTTCCCGAGGCATAGCAACTACGTATGTGTCCTTGAACCGTGAGCGGTATTTATTACAGGTACTAGTCTTCCAAAACTCATATGGTCAAGTAATGTTTTAAACTATTTAAATGCAAGCCGAACAGTCACAACTCTACAGTTATTGCTTAATATCATAAACTTAATGAAGCACTGTTTGATTATTTCTCATCACTTGAATAGATGTAATTACAGTATTCTGGAAAGTTGATCAATATGTATGAATAATACACTTTCAGTGTTCATCAAAGCCACATTTCTACCATTTAATCTGTTTTTCAGTCTTTAATTGTTCATTTTAGGCTGTGCAATTAGTGCGATGATTATGGGGTCTGTCATTGGGCTAATATTTTTCTACAGATTTTCAGACGAACCTAATGAAAGTAAGGATCTATTATCAGTAATTTGATTTAGTTTGAATAATTGCAGTTTGCCATAACTATCGATTCATTAGTTTCTATACCTCGTCTGATAACCTTCACCTCAATTGATAGGATATCATGGCAGATTTAGTCTACTGGGCTATTTTTATTAGTAACATGTCTTGATGTCTTCCCTTGTCTTCCCTTAAACTTAGAGATTAAAATCACTTCATATCTTTCTTTCTACGAACCAATTCTTTCTTCTTGTACTATATCTCTATATGCAATCTTTCTCTTATATATTACCACCTTTGACCTAATCACTGCTATGAATCCGGTATTCATCTTGTTGTGCTGATGCGGTATGGCAACCTGGACCGATGCACATATGTGCCTGGTCCTACGTTGTAGCTGACTGACTGACTTGATGTAAGATCTTAGGAAAACAGACCTGATAATTGTAGAACTAGTATAGTCAGTACTTGTACTCCAAAGCTCGTTAGCTTGAGAGTGGTATTAGAAAATTGTGCGCCTGGATACCAGCCTCAAGTAGTTGCTCCTTACGTATTGCCGCACGCTTGCAAGTCGCTAAGACTGCTGATAACCCAGCCTCTTTTACAGATATCAAGAACTATCCTTCCTCATTGTTGGTAACCGCGATGTAGCAACCTCACGTCATTTATAATCAAACCCCATCCTCACTACCCAATATTTCTTCTGTTTCTACTGTAAACCTTCATTTTCTGTTTTCAACTTTCATATATACCAATAGTGCTAACTACTCGAGTTCACAAAATACTATTTCAGATATGAAACCACATATATTGAAGTCTTGAATGTCCAAACATATATCAGATTGCAAAGAGGTTTGACTAAGACACCATAATATCGCGCCACTGATGCATACCGTATCTTCTGACCACGTATAAGGGGTTCTAACGTGGTCATCCACTTGAAATCACTTAAGCAGTATGGATAACTAACATGATTTACACCTTGTGTATCTGTGGGCATGACAGCAGATCCTCGTGGTCTTGCTGGTGTAAGTATATTACTATATAAGGAAGAACATGCACAACTGGATTCCTGTTGACAGCATTTTACATTCATCAGAGCTGTTTCCAGAATGTCATCGATGGCAAAGTTGAAGAGGAATGGTGAGATTTGGCAACCCTGCCTAACCCCACTGCTCGAATGGAACAACGGAGAGAGGTGGTTGTATGCCCTCACTCTGCCTGAGGTGTTTGCATATAGGGCTTTTAGGATGTTAATAAACTTCTCAGGCACACCCTTCTTCAATAGACAATCCCAGAGAACAGTCCTGTCCAACGAATCGAAGGCAGCCCTGATGTCAAGAAACACTACGATTGTTGGCCTTTGATAAGTATGGCGGTGTTCTAACATTTGGCGGAGGGTGAAGATATGATCAATACATCCTCGACCAGAACGAAACCCAGCCTGCTCCTCGCGAGTCAATCTTTCTCGGGTTTTGAACAACCTACGAAGTATGACGGAAGCCAATAGCTTGGACGCAATCGGAAGTAGACTTATCCCCCGATGGTTGTTGCAGGAACGACGTGAACCCCTTTTAAAGATAGGGACAACTATCGACTCATTCCATGACGTTGGTACACTCTCTAGTTCCCAAACCTTTGTAAACAACGTCGTCAATTCCTTAGTCAAAAAGTCACCACCACCTTTAAAAAGAGCCAGAGGTAAGTCATCTGAGCCAGGTGATTTGTAACGCTTCAAGAGTTGGAGTTCCTTGCGGACTTCCTCCTCGTTTGGTGGATCAGTCGTCACCGGCCATGGAGGGCAGGACAGCAGGACCGATGTTGCCGGAGCAGCAGGCCAGTTGAACTGCCCTTCGAAAAATTCTGCCCACCGTCCAAGACGTCGATGGATGTTAGTGATTGGCATCCCATCATCCTCGCAGATTGTTTCACTCACACCAGACTTCTTGCTGCCAGTGGCTCGAATGAGCTGGAAGAGCTTCCGGTAGTTACCAGATGCAGCTGCTGCTTCTAGCTCATTAGCACGCTTCGACCACCAGGCTTCTCGGTCCTTACGCAAGCTTTGCCCGATTTCCTTACATAGCATCCTTCGTTTATGGTCAAACTCACGGTCACCCGGAGTAGACCGACGGGCTTCAATGAGTTGTAAGGAACCAGAAGAAACCCAGTGCTTAAAAGCGGGACGTTTCGCAAACCCACAACTGACTGTTCCCGCCATTTTTATGGCGTCATGCAATTGCAACCAATGCTCATCTATACTTTTCGGTGGAGTGGTAGCTAGCCCAGAGGCTAGCTCGGTTCGATACTTACTTGCAACAGAAGTTGCAACCAGGTTGCTAACATCAGTCCGTTGATGGCGTTCACTTCGTTGTCCACTGAAAAGTAAGGCAAGATTGGCGCAGACCAAGGCATGGTCAGAGTCCAGATAGGTACTCCAGAAGGAGAGGCAGTCTTGTACACAACCACGCCAGCGGTAGCTGATCGCGATGTGATCAATCTGAGTCCAGGCTTGAGATGCAGAGGGAGGACGCCAGGTGGCACATCGGCGATGACTGTGCCGAAAGTTAGTGCTAGCCAGAAACAGGTTGTGGTCTGTGCAAAGTTGCAGTAGACGGTCCCCGTTATCTGACCTGCGACCAACGAGTCCCCATCGGCCACCTAAACGACTCTCTTCTGTGCCTAGACGCCCAACCTGAGCATTCAAGTCTCCGGCTAGTACTACAATATCTGTCGAACGCACTTTCTGGAGAAGAACTGATAACTGGTGGTAAAACTCATCCTTGATTGCATCCGGGCTGCAATCTGTCGGGGCATAGGCGGAGATGACGAAAAGACATCGATTCTCACGCCGATTTCTTCTCACTTTGATGGAACTTTCTAATCTAACAACACATAACCGACTGTTAATGGGGATCCAATCGATTGGTGCTGCCTCAGCTCTAGCGCTTAGTGCGACACCAACGCCAACAAAACCAGACGAAGATGCCACAGGGCCCCCGGATAAGCGCACGTAAAACAAGCTTTTCGAAGCGACAGATGGAGATCGAATTTGTAGTACTTCGCCAGAGTCTTGAATACGGGTCTCAGATAGACAACAAACATCAATATTAAGACTTTCCAAAGACATAGCCAGCCCTATCTGTTGTCCGACCTGCATAAATGTGCGAACGTTGAAGGCAGCCAGTTTGAATGGTGCACGTGGTTTCAGAAAATCTGCTTCAGTCCTCGTATTCGGTGGTAACATACAATTTTCAACCGGACAGTGACTCGAGAACGTTTAGATACAGTCGGATTTCCACCAAAGACGAGCCGCTGTATAAGTATAAAAGAGGGTGAATAATGTGGAAAATAATAATAATAATGATAATAATAACAATAATGACAATAATAGTAGTAATAATAATATTAGTATTAATAATGACAATAATTGTAATGATAATAATCTGAATCAATTGTTTGTTTTTCAAAGCGAGAAAGGTAATTTCCATAGGCATAAAGAGTTCATCAATTTGTGTGTGGGCTGTGATACTGCCCGGGTGCCCAAACCGAAGCAGGTGGTTATCTTAGGGGGCCACTCCCCGAGCCTTTGACCTAAGGGTCTAACCCACAAGGCAGTGGAGCATCGTAAGGAGATGCAGTCCCATGGTAGCCGGTGACCAACGATTGGTTCATACGCCATTTGTTCCCGCAGGATACTGGAGCCCATGTGCACCATTGGTTTGGAATCCGGTTAAAGCGCCGGACATTCGCCTTTCGTCCTCTCATTTTCGTAAACAACACCCCCGCCACGAGAAGGCAATGAGTAGGACTTCCCTGGCAGAGGCTGTATACGCGTGGCCGTGTGAGAGCATTTCGAGAGGGAGAGCGGACTCTCCCCACTCTCGACCGTACCAGGGCATTCAGGGGGCTATGAACTTTTGTCTTACCGCAAGGAACTCCAACTCTTAAAGCGTTACAAATCACCTGGCCCAGATGACTTACCTCTGGCTCTTTTTAAAGGTGGTGGTGACTTTTTGACTAAGGAATTGACGACGTTGTTTACAAAGGTTTGGGAACTAGAGAGTGTACCAACGTCATGGAATGAGTCGATAGTTGTCCCTATCTTTAAAAGGGGTTCACGTCGTTCCTGCAACAACCATCGGGGGATAAGTCTACTTCCGATTGCGTCCAAGCTATTGGCTTCCGTCATACTTCGTAGGTTGTTCAAAACCCGAGAAAGATTGACTCGCGAGGAGCAGGCTGGGTTTCGTTCTGGTCGAGGATGTATTGATCATATCTTCACCCTCCGCCAAATGTTAGAACACCGCCATACTTATCAAAGGCCAACAATCGTAGTGTTTCTTGACATCAGGGCTGCCTTCGATTCGTTGGACAGGACTGTTCTCTGGGATTGTCTATTGAAGAAGGGTGTGCCTGAGAAGTTTATTAACATCCTAAAAGCCCTATATGCAAACACCTCAGGCAGAGTGAGGGCATACAACCACCTCTCTCCGTTGTTCCATTCGAGCAGTGGGGTTAGGCAGGGTTGCCAAATCTCACCATTCCTCTTCAACTTTACCATCGATGACATTCTGGAAACAGCTCTGATGAATGTAAGTAATGGTGGTGTGGATCTGTTGCCTGGAGAAAGACTTCTCGACCTTGAGTATGCGGACGATATTGTCTTACTGTGCGATAATGCCCAAGGCATGCAATCCGCACTTAATCAGTTGGCAATCAGTGTCCGTAGGTATGGTATGTGCTTTGCACCTTCGAAGTGCAAAGTATTTCTACAAGACTGGCAGGATTCCAATCCTGTACTCACCCTGGACGGTGAACAGATAGAAGTAGTCGAGAAGTTCGTGTATCTAGGTAGCTGCATAAGTGCTGGTGGGGGTGTGAGTGATGAGATCAATGCACGAATAGTGAAAGCCAGAGCGGCTTATGCCAATCTGGGCCACCTTTGGCGCCTTCGTGATGTTAGTCTGGCTGTAAAAGGCCGGATCTACAACGCGTCGGTGAGAGCAGTTTTGCTCTATGCCTGTGAAACCTGGTCTCTCCGAGTTGAGGACGTTAGACGACTCTCTGTGTTCGATCATCGCTGTCTCCGAAGGATTGCTGACATTCAGTGGCAACACCATGTCAGTAATGCAGAGGTTCGGCATCGTGTGTTCGGGCACAGAGATTATAATGCAATTGGTGTCACCATCTTGAAACACCGACTTCGGTGGCTTGGACATGTTCTACGAATGTCGTCCCAGAGAATTCCACGTCGTGCATTATTTGCCGACTCTGGGACTGGTTGGAAGAAGCGGAGAGGTGGTCAGTGCATGACATTATGTCGTGGCATGAAAGAAAGCTGCAAAGGACTGGCTCCTGTCGGTCCTTCACGACTCCCTGGTTGGGGTCTGAGAGATGGTGCTACACAGTGGCTAGAGATGTTATCAGATATGGCTCAGAATAGAAGCTATTGGCGATCCTGCTGTAACCTTTTACTTTCTTCATAAAAAGTGGTTCTGTCTCCCTTACCTGAAAGATTTCTTCTGATTGTACCTCGTTACTACCACACTACCTTTACACCAATCTCTTCGTTATTGTTCTCTTTTTCTTTTGCGCTCCTTAGTTTTTTTTTCTATTTCTCTTCGCATTCTTATTGTTTTGTGTGGCGCATATATATTGGCGCTCTCTTGTACCAATATTTATGTGTTCAAATAAATAAATAAATAGATCGATCGCGTGAAATAGGTGATGTTCAACACAATTGTCTCGTCTGTAGTCACCACGTTTCAAAAGTATTTTAATAGATAATCAAAAATAGTTCAGAAAGATAAATAAGAAAATTTTGGGATATCAGAAAAAAAAGTTTAATAATTAAAGAAAATAACAAGTGAACGTGTCTTTGTTGTTGCTGTAGTTTTTCAGTTATACCCAACTAACTCATACCACTTTTACAAGCCTCAGTCAATCTACATTTAATTACTTACTGAACCAGTCTTTAGTATTCCCTTAAGGTGGCTCCATTTCTTGGTCAGTCGGTTAGCTATTTATAATCTATCAGTAACTTATTCCTTATATCAATAATAAGTAATGCTAAAGTGATAAAAATCATGAATGTCAATAATGGATTAATTGTCTACAAAAACGTATTTACGAAAACCAACAGTTGAGTTGAATATGTTGATCACAGTCCCAGTTTAGTATGGACGTTGATTATTTGATGAGCGAATTTTTTGATTGTTAAAATCAATGAATATAATGTTGGTCAATAAATGGACACAATATCATGATATGGTTATGGTTGCTCACTAAACTATTTTATTGACTTTGGGCCTCAAATAATTTGAAATCAAAGACAAGTCCACTGAGCCAAAATAGTCGGTTTTATTCTGTAACCAGTTGAAGTGTTTCTATGCATAATATAAACACAATATAAACATGCTAAAATGTCTTTGGGGGAATTAGCTTGTAGGACACTCATTGTTCAATCGATGAAAACTTAACTGCTGGGCTAAATCTTCAAGCATTGTATCACAGTTTACACATTATTGGTTTTTATTGTGCATTATTTTCGAGTCAATTTAATTTCGGATTAAAATATATTTTCATAGTTTGAATCGCGAACCGTGTCGGTTATGAGATAGCAAGCGAGCATTGGATAGTGTTTGCGTAATATCCTAAGTTGATCGAAGGTAAACATCAACACTGTCAGATGCCAGCTCAGTGGTTTAGAAGTTAAACGTTCGTACAAGGAACCGAAGGTCCTTGGTTTAGTTACCGGGTGCGCCCTGCTGAGAAGTCTTACACTAGCATGAAACGACTGTCTAGTACTTCCAGGTTTTCAATGGCAGCCCATAAAAATTCTGCAATTTTCACGAATTATCCCATGCTATTGAAATATTTTTCCTTTTTGATCATTCTATTTATAGCTTACCTTATTTTAATAGCGAGTGCTTTTTTGCCAGCTTTCTTCGCATTGTTTGTGTTTGTAATACTGTGGTGGCGTTACGTTCGTCCTACTTTGTACTACCAACGTATGTTTGGACAAGGTCCACTGGTGAAGGTAGAAAATTCTACAACTGTTCTTGTTAACGAACCGTGGAATTCAGATGTGTTAGATAACAGCTATCAAAATGTTGATGCCCCTTTCGGATTGTCGTCACAGACTGAACATACACCAATTAATACTGTTAATGTTTTGGCTCCAGTTAGTGAGGAGGAGTCCAGTATTTCAGCACTACAGCTGTGTAACGATCTAGTGCATCAACCTTCCCCAGCTCATTCTGGTGCATATGTTTCAAATGAACAGGGTGCTAGTGATGATAATGAAGGTTACACTTGTGTTCGAATTTGTGGCATTCAGCTGTGTCGAAGGTCCAGAAGTTCACAAAAATCTTCAAAAACCTTGGCATGTCCACTTAAACCCTTCACCCTAAGACCTCGTCGCTTTGCTCGTTTACTTCCCGTTTTGCCGACTGTATTTATTCTAATCGGTTATCTCTCCATCTCCCTTGGTACGTTTTGAAAATTTTACTAGTAAATTTATTCTGTCACATTTTTCTATAGGATAAGTATTTAAAATCGACAGAACTTTATCTATTGTCTATTTTACCATATATGTATATGTGTATGATATTAATTTAATTACTGAAATTTTCGGAGTAAAAAAGGAATTTTAAGGTATTTGTTTGTTTGGGTAATACATCGTTAACACTTAAGTAAGGTTGATTAGTTCATGTTGTTCATCCGCGTAGTTAAACTATTCCATGAATAAAAATTTATGGCTCATGTCTATGTACATAAATATGTAATGAGTTACTAGGTTGCTTTAGTTATCCGGGATTGCCCCCAAATGCCCTGGTACATCAGAGAGTGGGGAGAGTCAGCACTCTCTCCCGAAATGCTCTTACATGGCCACGCATATACAATCACTACCAGGGAAGTCCTACTCACTGCCTTCTCGCGGAGAGGTGTTGTTTAAGAAATTGAGAGGACGATATCCGGCGCTTTAACTGGGTTGGTGGACTCAGAGATTTCACCTAGGGAAGTTGGAAAACCCTGATTTCAAACCAACGGTGCACATAGGCTCCAGTATCCTGAGGGAACAAAAGGCGTATGCACCTTTTTTTGGTCACCGGCTACTATGGAAGTGCATCTCCTAACTTTACTTCACTGTCTTGTGCATTAGACTTGTAGGTCAAAGGCTCTGGGTGTAGTGCCCTAAGAAAACCACCTGCTTTGGTTTGGACGTTCGGGAAGTATCACAGCCCTCACAAAAATCGAATGACAAAGTAAGGAGTGCATGTATTAGATGCCCCATTGTACCAATGTTTGTGTTTTAATAAATAAATAAATTGAGAACTGAGCTTAAAATACCACAGTGGTATCAAATTCATCTTATTTCATTGTTTTACTTTGATACTTCTGTTTCAGTCAGTCAGTCAGCTACAAAGTAGGACCAGGCACGTATATACATCGGTCCAAGTTGCCACACCTCATTAGCACAACAGGATGAACACCGAATTCATAGAAGTAGTTACTTGAATGATAGTAATATGTAAAAGAAGTATTGCGTATAAGGGTATAGTATAGAAGAAAGAATTAGTTCGTAGAAGAAAAGGTATAAATTAATTTAATCTCACAGTTTAAGAGAAGACAGATTACGTATATACCTACACCATTGTGATCGATTCTGATTTATTTCACCCAGCGTCTTCAACCATTATAATAGCCGCGCGGACTCCAAGTAGTCTGTATCTACCAACATGACTCAGACTAGGAGTTAGTGAATTCAAGGACTGACGCTATGTTTTGGTTTGGCCGCCCCTAACTTTTTTCCAACCATCCCCAAAACTAGTCGGCATTGTGCGTCGTGGTAATCGTTGTTCAGGCATACGTAACATGTGTCGCAACCATCTCAGTCGATAAAGATTCACAACTTCATCAACTGATTTACCATCATTCCCTAATACCCTGCGTCTAACCTCACTATTAATTACCCAGTGATCCCAGCAGATGCGAGTAATATTTCTAAGACATCAGTGATCAAACACTAGTAGCTTACAAGTATCTTCTACTCTTAATGGCCACGTTTCGCAGCCGTAAAATAAAATAAAACGAACTGCTGCGCAGTAAACTCGTCCCTTAATTGATAGCCGGATATCTCACCTTCGCCATAGGTGGCATAAGTTGTCAAACGCCAACTGAGCTTTTCGAATCCATGATGAGATTTCGTCCGATATCAACCCATTAGGGCTGATCAGAATTCCAAGATAAGTGAAGTTGTCGACGTGTTCAACTACTTCACTCCCTATCCTTAGTTCAGGTGTTGACGCAGACCAGTCCTGTAGCAACAATTTGCATTTAGAAGGAGAGAAACGCATCCTAAACATTCTGGCATTGTAGCTCGGTGCTACCAAAAGAATGCATTTTATCAGCGTCTTCATCAAACAGGACTATATCATCTGCGTATTCTAAGTCGATAAGTGGACCTCCTAGTAGAAGATCAATGCCCGAAAATTCAGCCGACGAGAACGTTATTTCCAGCAGTAGGCTTATGATGGAATTAAACAAAAATGGAGATATTGAACAGCCTTGTCGGACACCACTGCTGTTTTTACAGCTGTTTGTATATCTTTCCAAGCAACATCTGGGTCAGCCTCGTTTTCAGAACTACCTATTTGTGACCTCAGTTGTTCCTGGAATCTACTTTCTGCTTTTTTGTCACTCAATTCAATTTTAATGGGTCTTCTAAGTGTGGTTTTTCTACGTCCAGTGAGGCGCAAGCTAATGCGTGCTCGTATTAGACGACGACCAGAGTCTAAAGTGGTTTTCTAGAATGAGAGACAATCTTCTATCGACCCTCTCCAACGATGACTGATGCCAATATGGTCTATTTGAGTCCATCGTTAGTTTGGTTCCGGGAGTCGCCATGTTAGATGATGTCTCTCCTTAGGCTTGAAATTAGTGTTTGCTAAAAATAAACGATTGTCTGAGCAAAGTTGCAGCAGACGATCACCATTATCTGTTCGCTGAGCCGGAATAGTGAAATACCCACTTAAATATCTTTCTGCTTGGTTTTATCTACCTACCTGGGCATTAAAATCACCTGCTATGAGTAGTATGTCTGAGCGTTTAGCTTTCTGAAGAAGTTCAGAAAGCTTTCTGTAAAAGTCATCTTTAACATCATCCGGGCAGAAACAACGAAAGGGCAACGACGTGTGTCACTATCCTTTGGAGTTTTAATGGAGCCGTTTAGTCGAACAGCACATAGGCGACTGTTGATAGGGATCCATTCTAACGGTGTTTGTTCTGCCATCGTCTACGCGAACTAGCCATCGGTCGCCAGATAAACGGAGGGTGTATCTCGTCGGCTCTCCGTTTTGGCAAGGTGAGGTCTAGTGTATGACCACACTAGGGTCCTGTATGTGTGTTTCGAAGACACAGCATACACCAATGGTACTAGATTTTAGGGCGTTATCCAAGGAGACCTGTTGACCGCTTGACACAGGGTGCGTACGTTGAAAAGACTACTACTTTTTAAAGACATTTGGATTGTGGTGACCAAGAAGACCCAAGACACCTGGTTCATCCCACTTGAATCGCGTCGGCTCTATGTACCTGCTTCCTATTTGTATTTACACTGGGGCTAGATCTTATTGTGCGCTTTGATCGACAACTTCTTATCCGCTAAGCTAATTAGTAGCCCATGATTCGTGGCTGCCTATTCAGGTTGCACGCTCAGTTGATTACTTCTGGTTGATTTAGCACTAAACTTCCAGTATAATCTAATGTTTGTACTTTTGTTATCTGTTGCGCTAGTTTGATGCCTGTTTGTTTAATAATTTTCAACGTCCTTTATCTATGAGTGAAAATCCCTCTTGTGTGCATTATATTTGTCGTAAATTCTTTATTCGCCCAAGGTATAAAGTTACTCTTTTCATTCTCATGTATCTTGCTTACTTCTGTTTCTTTTGTTATCCATCAATACATTCTGAATCGGTATTTAATTTGTTTTTTTGTATGATATAATGTTTCCCCGACCACAGTTTGACTACTACTGGATTGTTTCTCCCTGATCTGTTTGGGGCGTCCCGCTATGTGTGGATAAACATTTTCTGTTTGTTTGGAACATCTTTTCTTAATAAACGATTGACTGTGTTCTCTAATGATTCAAATATTCTAAGTTTGGATACAATATGAGCTGCATAATCTAGAAAGAAAACTGTTGAAATGTTCAGAAATACAAGATTGCCTCATGAACGTATTTTAGAAGTGATACGGCAATATGAACCACAGTTTTCGTAACAAAGGTCCTCTAAATTAATAGCATTTCCAAAAGTGCCACAATTCATAGTTTCTGGTCAAGTGTTGAAGGTCTGAGTATTACAGTCACTACTGTGACTACTTTTGAAGTGGAAGAGTTGTACATAATCTAATATTGCATAAAGTATAATAGATATCGTAACTGGATCAGTCCAAAGTTTCTTATACTACGACTCTAAAATCAACTAAACTCGAAAGGATCAGAACGTAGTATTGAAAAAAGATCGATGTATTGTTGTGTATCTCACCTAACCCGATTAATTATCGTAAGAGTTGCTCTGTACCGCGCGACCAAATGTGATCTGGTGTAGACACTTGGCTGAGTATCTTTAGTTAGTGATGTTTCCAATAAAAGTGGTTGGGTTTATATAAATACGAAAGACTTACAAGATTAAAGATAAAAATTTTTAAAGATAAGTTGGGACTATTTATGTACGGTGGCGCAACTTCGTGGATTGGTTGAAGTTAAACATTAACACCGTTGGATGCCGGCTCAGTGGTCTAGTGGTTAAGTGCTCGCGCGCGGAGCCAGTAGGTCCTGGGTTCGAGCCCCGCGTGGTGCGGGATCGTGGATGCGCACTGCTGGGGAGTCCCATACCAGGACGAAACGGCCGTCCAGTGCTTCCGGGTTTTCAATGGTGGTCTAGCTTCAACTGACTCATGATTTCAACCTGTGAAATTTCTAAAACTCTCCACAAAACCCGCTCTGATATTTATGTTACGTTGGGAATTAAGAGAAAGTCGTGTGTAGGCAAACACACAGAAATTGTTCACCATGCGGTTGAGAAAATATAATACCTATATAAGATGCAGGGATTAAAAACTATTGTACCGTTATCCTAAGAAGAAATAGTAAGTCATATCTGTGGTGTTTGTATGAACTGGTGATTCTTTTTCACTTGATAACTGCCTGATTTCCTATTCCAAATACAATACGTTCGTTCGTGTTCATCTAGTACTTCTTGGCTAAATTGAATTATTTCTGCTATCCTTAGTTCGTACTATAATTCGAATACTTCAAACCATCACAGTATCGTCCCAACAGTGTGAGCGTGATTTGTGGCTTGTTAAAAGATGAATCGGTAATACTATAATTTATGGACGACCTATGAGCGACGCTAAAATGACCTTGCGGGTGTCTACCCACTTACTAGGGCTAAATGAGGGTTATGAAGCAGTTTAAAGAATAAGGATTATGATTTACAGTTGATGGTTAGGGTTAAGAATTCGATTTAGGGTTTTCATCACGAACTGACATAAGCTATAATACTAAGTCTCTATTTAGGCAAATGGGTGAATGAACTTCGCGCCAAAATCTAAGACCTGTTATCGTAAATCTGATTGATTCGTCCATAAATTATAATCTCGCCGATAAAACATTTCTAAAAGATCGATAGTGGATAAAGACAACGCCGTATAACATTTCGCACCCTTATCTTTAACCAATAATGAGATTGTCAATTGCAATAATGAACATGTATTTGATGCACTCTGGTCTTTGCAGGATATCCATAAGCAGCAAAGTGGTCTGAAGACAGCATCCACACTAAAGTGATGTTATAGTCTACAATATATCAACTACCAATTATTTGTTTGTACAGGGGTTAGAAGGGGGATAAAGTAGATTTACGAAACACGTAATACCGCGTAGAAAAATAAGGAAATTGTAGTTTTCCTGGAGACAGGATTATACCGTTGACACTATTATTATGGAGATTCATCAACATAGCACCGATTGTTTCTCCTATTGCGTGTGCACAAAATCTACTTAAAACTGTTAATCACCTGTCAATACCGTCTCGCGGTGAGTCCATTTGATTTGATTCGTATTTTATGTACTTAAGTGAGTTGTAATTATCGATATTTCAACTGCAATACTCATATATATGCAATTACTCTTTTTCTTCAGATCGTTCTCTAAAATTGGACAAATCTTCGGTTTCTTTTTTTGCGTTCTGTACAATAATGTCAGGATTATTGCTTGGCTTGCTAAGTATATTCAAAAATTTTGTAAGTTTTTTTCCTAGTTCAATTATAAATTATTTAGAAAACTTGATAGACTTGTGTAATAAATAATAATGTGTAGGTTAAGGAATGATAGATAAATAATACATCTCTAGTAATTAATCGCTGATATTGAGATCATGATACCTCTGTCTTCTGCATATAACCTCAGTTAATAGTAAAGACAAAAGATATATCATTAACTAGAAAATTTAATTGGTCCACAGTGAGGACGACATAGTCCTCCAGTTATGCCTAAATGTACTTACAATGTGCGTGAAAATGAAACATTAAAATAATACTCCAAGCATAAGCGGTAGGATCACAAGATATCAGCCTCAATGGCAGGGGAAATGAAAGGTAAAGTGAAGAGAGTTGGACAAAAGTACAGAAATTTAGTTTATAAAATGTTATTCAAAGGTAATCATAAAATGTTCTTTTTTTTTAAAATGTGAAACGAACAGTATTAACAGGTGTTAGGATTTCTTATTACATATATTAGTGTAATAATGTTTTTTTCTTAAATTTTAACATTACAGTTGCTCAAATATCGTGTTGCGTAAAAATCCTTAAGAAAAAGAAAAACGACGAAGTAGATCTTTATTCACACCTTTTCATAGAGATCTCCCTCAGTTTTTTTTCGATAATATTCACTTTATTGGTTAGTGCTATAAAGGCTAGTCTTAAAAAACAATTTTAACGAAAATCAGTTTCCTCGGCTGCCTGTTACATAACTGACGTACACATTGCGCATTGAGTGGTGAATTAGTAATTAGGCTATTCGACTTTCTAGGTTCAAGCCCCACCCCACCTACTTCGGTTTCGGGAACCGAGTAGTATCATTAGCCTTCACACCCAAGCAAGTTCCTTGTAAATGATTTGAATTTAATTTTCTAACGAAGTCCACTAGAATGAGAATATTTTGAAAATACTAAATTCTTATTAATTCACTTCGTTGTCATTAGAGTATAATTTACGTTGGTTATTTTTTTCACAGATAAAGTATACAACTACACTCTCTAGTTGCTACATTTCGAATTTTAATAATTGTAGGCTGAAATTATAAACAGTTTTAACTTAATCGATGTATCACTTGATTATGACACTTTTGTATATATTGCGTTAAAACTTCTTTTTTGTGAGTTTTATGAAACATTTCAAACATCTTTTTATAATATCCGTATATTATAATAGATAGTAAGTGTATTAGTTTTTACGTATGCAAGATTTTTGTATAGAATCATTTATCTTATTCACAAATAGGATCTCCGGAAACTGACTCACTCAGTTTTATTGTCTACAGGTTGGTATTTTAGTCGAAGGTATAGTGTGGCGCATATATATTGGGGCTCTCTTGTACCAATATTTATGTGTTCAAATAAATAAATAAAAAACGCTATCAAATTTGCAATTTAGGTTAATGTTTTACTTCAGATTTACGTAGACGCTTAAAAGGTCGCTTTTTCAGGGAGGTGATTGTTTGTCTTGGTACTCTTGAAACTTGGTTTTTGATTTACAGATGGTCATTATTTTGAACTCTCACCACATGATTCGTTTTAGGTAGTATCATTCCACTGAGCAATAATAAACATGATTCTCTGGATAATTGTATAAACGTTTATACATAGTAAATACACTGTTCCTTCAAATATTTGTTTCAGTTGTGCTTTTTGTTGTAGTGTTTCAAATATGTTCTTTCAAAACGGAATATGTAGGTTTTGATTTTAAGAATATACGTCATTGCCTGTTATCTCAACGGTATTTTTAAGATCAATCCAAATGTGTATACTAAATTTTTCTTAATTTTCAGGCATTCGGTATTTCAACTGCTCTTCTTGGTTTTTACGTTACACTATGCTGTGCAAGTTTTTTTCTCATACCAAGCTGTTTATTACCTCACATTGTAATTGAATATTTCTTGATGTTAACCTGTTTTGATATAAGACTACGTACTCTACGCATCCAATTCTATGGTCAATATGGTAATTTTTAAATATTTATTTTCATTTCTGCACATTTTCTACTTTAATCAGATCAAGTTTGTTTAAGATTAGTTTGGTTCTTTGAAGCGTAGTCTTTACACTGACGAATTTTCAAAACGATATGAATTGTTAACTGAAGTTGCATGATTCTATTGGTTTATAACCGTTTCCATTGTATCTTTTGCATAAGTTTCTGTCCGTAATTTTAAAAGGTTAGTTAAATTTGCGGAATAGAGTTTTTCTTTATTTGGATCTATTTTTCAGCCTCATAACTGAAACTTTTGTATATTTGGATTGATTTTAATTATAATTGATTATTTATTGTTTCTGCTGAATATATGACCATATTTATTTTTTGCATAAATGAGAAACTTTTTTTCTTGTCGTCATTCTTAAATAACTTTTATGAGTAATTCGTCCTAAATAATACTAGTTAGTGACCGCTCATGATGACATCATACCACAACTCAAACCAGTGTAGGTACAGTAGTTTTTATGTTATCTAAATGATAGATTAATGGATCTATTCACCTCAGTTCCACGTAACTGGGAATGCTCCTTATTATAAGTATACTGTAAAAATATTAACATAAGACTCACTACATAGATCGTTGGCGATATAAACTCTACAAAGGTCAAGTTTATGTCGTGGACTGAGAAGTCTTTTGTAGTGTGAATAAATTTTAAAACTGGTTTACAAATAAACTATTTATACAATCATTATTTAGCCTCAATAATAGTAGTACTAAGGATTATGCTGTTATTAATGATGATTAGTGTAATAACGATTATTTCCTAATTGTTTGTTAAAAATTCATACATTTTATCTTCAGATGTTATTGTTGTCGTAATATGGTTTGTTAGCAGTATATGCTTTGGCTCACTAGCGTTGTGTTTGATTCGTTTACAAGATGCACGTGAATTATCTGAAGCTCAAAATTACCATACATCAAACTCAAAACATCCATACACAAATACTAATGCACACACCCCTAGCAATAGCCTTTCATTATTGGGAGAGATTAGACCAAGTTCCCAAGCTTCATGTTATGTACCTCGAATGTTTCCTGTCCCAAATTTATCATCCAATGCAAATTCTGCATCCAGTTTGTATAATTTGCTTTCATCTCCCAAGGTATACAATAAAATAGATTCGGAAGGTTCCGTGAACTACCCTGTGCCCGTTGATTATTGTCGTCCATCTAATCCGTCTTCTTCAAGAGTTTCAACGGAAAAGCAACCATTATTACAGGGGTAAGTTAGCTATTCTAAATAGTTACTAAAGTTAGATTATTCTACTGGCACAAATATAGAGGAAAACCACTGAGGATACATCTTAAATTTAGCGTATGAGAATAACGTTTTAATGCTCTCATGCTATCACGGGATCATACTCCATTTTTCTTAAAAATATGATTATACATCTTCTATCATCTCGAGATCATGATATGTTAGATTTTGAACTATCAACTTAGAAAAATTCAGTGAATCAGTTCTAAACGTGTTTATGGGAACATTAATTTATCCATTTTTTAAAAATGGTGTTATATGGGAACACGGATGAAGAACTAAATCATTTCAAAACATACATTGTGCAAAAGTATGTATATAATGATTTGTTAAATTTTTCGGAAAATCATTTTTAATTGGTTTAACATTGAAAAACGTTACTGTAGAAAGTCAGGAAATAAATAAATTTGACCATGTAAGCTGCCATAATCTTGCAATATAATTATTTATTTTAATTTTTAATTTTTACACAAAGTATATCTATTGTGTATAAGATAATTATTTATTTATTCTCTAGTTGAATCTTTTTTTATAGGTCTTTTTACAATAAGTATGGTGGTCTAATGGGTACGGGTACTGATCATCCTCCTTTATTGCCCTTAAGTAGAGTTCAGCTGGCTGCTGCCTCACAGTCTTTACCGTTCAGTTCGTCATCAAGTGTAAATATCACAGTGAAATCGATACAATCCGATGTTGAGGAAAATTAAGTCAAAACTAACTCTTCTATAACTTCTATTCAGTGTAAATAATAATCATAAAATGATAACTAAGTTCATCTTGCCTAAAATGTCTATCTTTATCAATTTTTCTCACATTTTATCTAGATCTATATTTCTCCGCAGTATTTATTAACTATCGTGTTATTTTAAGTCTGAATATTGTTTTCGAGTGTTTATTTTACTTGGTATTTAAATAAAATATCATTATTATATACTCTGTATTCATCAATGCCTTTTAATCATTTATGAATTGTGATCCATACGTTGTTCTTCATAACTGCCTATAATAATCTTACGTTTTAATTGGTTACTTATTATATCCGATACTAGTAGCACAAAATTGCCAAACTTAAATTACTATATGTTTTAACTTACCTGTCCTCAATTGTATTGTATAATTAGTGTGCTCACAGATACTTTGACTATTTTAATTGCAGTTTTTAACTGTATTTCAGGACATTGACATATTTTGTGTAATACCAGGATTCAATATTGATGATCCGTACTGTCGCAATTGGAGCTGCACAAGACCGATTCTTACGGAATTCAGCCTGTTGATCTCGAAGTTGGGCGTATATTGAATCCTTCATCCGGTCCAACAACACTGTTGAAAACGTTTCCTGGTACCGATAGTAGTGTGATGCCCCTATAGTTATCACATTTGCTCAGATCTTTTTTTGGAATGGTGATGAGATATCCTTCTTTCCAGTCTGTCTGCACTTGTTCTTCTATTGTTATAATAGTACTAATAACAAAACAGACTTAATTCTATATATCTTCATAACCGTTGTCGTCCATTCCGATTTTACCGTTTACATTTTCCATCAGGATTATCAGATCCTTTCATGGGCACTTCACTATGACCGTTTGTAGCCTCTCGTAGAACAGATCTTTATCGTCATCATTGCAATCGTTGGTGCATAACGTTCATTGTAATACCCTCTTTCTTTATTCCGAATGACACTGATGATCCTGGATCCATGAGATTCCTATCCTATTATAGTACTTCTTGCATCTTAGGACAGCATCAGATCAACTCCCTGAGTGTGTGGAGCATCTTCCGCTTCGTGATCGTATTACAGCGGCATCCCTCCTGAATCTAATCTTTTCTGTCCAGCTTGGGTCCAATGGGTTTCGCTGATTCCGAAAACCGCGAAGTTGTATCTCATTTCTTTATCTACTTGATTAGTCCTCCTGGTCTCTCACATTGTCCAGACAGTCCATGTACTTATAAAAATTATTGCTCTGGTTGTTAGAAAGGGGAATAGAGCTCGTGACTTCCGAACAATCTCGGTATTCATCACAAGACGTCATAATTCATCCTTCAACTCCCAAGGCAGAGTTGAAATTGTTTATTCTGGTTAGTGTTTTTTAGCAAGTTTGTTTTTTACGCGATGGGGTTGCTGACTCCACGCCCAACCCTCCTTTTTATCCGGGTTTGAGACCGGCAGTAATCCTAGAAGAGCTACAGGTAGAGTATAGCAAATAAGATGACTAGAATATATAATTTGCATATAAAATAAAAACAGTTTCTAGGGATGTCTTGAAGTCTCCATATGAATAGTGCTTAAAAGCATATGCGTTGGTTTAAGTTAATTTCTCAGGTGAGAAAATTGTTTACTTATGTAGGATTCCCGTTTTGTAACAGTGAGGCTTTTCTTCATGTGAGACGATGGAGTAGAAGGAAGGTAATAACCGAGTCATCTATTCAAGCAGAATAATATATAATATAATAATGATTTAGTATATCATAAAAATGGTTATACTTATAGACCGATAATGGCGAGGATTTTCACTCTAAAGTAGCCGTAAATTGTATATAGTTTATGTTTTTACATAAGAATTTGTTTGAACTTTGTCTGTTAAGTAGTAGTTTAAGTTGATGACGTTTTGAAATTCAGTTGGTTTTTAAAGTCAAGTTATATCAATGGAAGACATGTTGCACATAAATTTTATATCTATCCCGAATATATTTAGTTGAAAATAGTGAAATATAGCACTTGATATAATTTTATTAATTTTCTACTGATAATATAAATGTCCATGGTGCATAACCAATGATGCATGTGAATCAATATTATAATGTGATTACAGGATAATAAATGTATCTAATTTATATGATGTTTTTTCAAAGTAAAACTGATATGTTTATGTATGTGACCGTGTGCAATTGTGAATTTTCACAAATCATACGGATGTACCAAATGGCACTTTGATAATGCGGCATAATGATGATTTGTATGTCCTATAGATAGACGACATTCTATAGCATTGTTCTTGTAAGTAATTTCGGGTACTAAGAAGTCTGGATTTAAAATCAATTGAAATGTATATTCACCTGGAATTAGATCGGTAATATCTAACCATTGACAATCATAATCGTGGAAATAATTATCTTGGCATCCAGGACTAATACCTTGTATAGTATAGCAATAAAAATATAGAGTGAGGGATTTATGTTATTATAAATATTAAAAGTCGCGAAGTCAAGGATTCAATTAAAATGGATTTGATATTACAATTTAATTCTGCGCAATTGTGGTGATTGACGAGATAGCTTAAGGGTGGTTATGTTAATTTAAGAGACCAATATCATGAGATCACGTTCAAGAAATATCCAGTCGGTTGGGATCAACACAGCTTGGGACAAATGTATGTTACCCCAAGTTGCTACATTACAATGCCAGAACGATGGCATAAAGTGATTAATTTGTATTTTCCAGTGTTTGTGTAATTGATGTCATTTGTTAAAAAGATTAACATCAGTTAGAGAACCATTCGAAACCAGCTCGTCTTTTATGGTTATTTCTTAGTTTGCTAATCCTCGTTTGTTCACACCTATCCCGGATGGGTCAAACCATGACCTTCAGCACGATACCATTGAATCAGTGAAATGAAATTCAATTTCTTATATCTTTTAGCTACAGTCAGTTCACGATGGTGCACAACTTATCACATCAAGGTCGGATAACTTCCACTGACTTCCCACATAGTTATTTGCGAGCAAGAGATTCTGTAGGTTAATGGTGATGCTGATTCATATCAAGAAACGCTGGAAAAAAATAACTACACCAACCAGGGCTCATCAGGCTTACTACATTTTACTGTTGGATTTAGAGTATGGTGAATTCTGGTAGAATAACACAATTTGAACAAGTTTTATAATAGATTTTACTATAGAAACAGTGCTAAACCCTGTCTGTTAGTCAAAAGTAAAAAAATCTGGATTATTTTATTAACGAATATTTTGAAAAGTCTAATAGCTAACAGAAGTTTGAGACTGTTCTATTGATTCGGCCTTATTATAACCAGTTAGAAGTGATAAGTTAACAAGTTGCATTCCTCTTGTTATTTAGTATCTATTTTCAAAGGTACGAAGAATAAGATGGTATAAATAATTGAATTGAAAGGAAACTATATGACGTGTGTAGATGTCGAAAGTATTACATGGTTAAATGAAATCTAAGGTAGGTTAGAAACCCTCTAGTCCAAACAGTATAATTGAAATGGTCAGATCATTGTCTTATGTGCTCATAGTTGTGGACCTAGGCAGCTGCGTACTAATTCAGTAAGTCAAGTTTTTGGTTTTCAGATCAACCAATAAGATTCATTATATTGTCACAACTTATGAAAACAGGTTGAGGCATTGATGTACAACGATAATTGTAAGTTCAAGATTCGTGATAGCTTGAAATGACCAAAGTAACTATATTTGTTGGTCAATCTAATCTTAGGCAAAGTGATGTACTTCGTTTCCTTAAGTTACTAATTTCACTTCAGAGTTATTAATTAATACATGTAAGTCAATTTTTAGAAATTCTATTACTTGTTGTAAATATAGACTTTTCAATGTAAAGTGAATTTATTTTATTTTGTAAGTCATAGTTGATTTGTATTGGCGGAAATTACCAAAGATACAATGTATATGAAAAGGCATGACTTTCAATCTCAGGGCAAAATAAAACGACTAATGTATTCATATATGATCGTCTAACATAGATATAAGTGAATCTAACTCGACTTTGAAAGTTACTTCTAAGTGATCAGATTACACTAATATTGTGATAATTGTTCTTTATTCTTCCAGTATTAGTGAGTGAGGTAACCAATGAACGACCCACTCTGATCCTTTAGTTTACTGTAGACTGACGTATGATTTACAAAGTTCCACGTTTTAAACTTGTATATTACTCTATTGCTATAGCCAGTACACACACTTAAAATGTACATAATGTAATGAGAAGTTTTAACTTGCAGTTGATAGAATGTCAAATTTATTCATGGAAGCACTGGACGGCGGGATCGTGGATGCGTATTGCTGAAGAGTCACATAGTAGGACGAAACGGCCGTCCAGTGCTACCAGATTTACCATGGTGATCTAGCTTCAATTGACTCATTATCTCAACTATTAAACTACTATAATATCCACGAAAAACCCTTCTCTGGAAATAATTAAATGTTTAAGGAAAAAATAAAATAAAAATTCATTTTAGTGGTAAAAAAAATACCTAATCGATTGTTTCATTTGTTGACATTCAAATTATAAGCCGAAAAAAATATTCCATAGTTTTATTCGAATAAGTTAATTTGATCAACATGATTAAATCTAGTCTTTCTTTAAGTAGATTATTTCAGTGTTAAATGTTGAAGGTAGATTTTGATTGTTTTTAACTTTTGTAGTCTATCGTTTATAGGATGATTTCATTGTTGATTCTAATGTTGTTTTTTTTTTCTTTCTTTCAACTATATAATATGAGAATATAATATTTATTAATTGATTTAAATGTGGTTTATTATCTTATTTGAAGTTACTTGTTCGTTTATAGTTAAGTGTGAATTATCATATTAAATAAAAATATTCAGTACAGTTTAAAGTGTATCTAAAAAAGTGGGTTATTTTTCTAAAAAAAATTGTTGTATTTATTAACTAAAGGTCGTTTAGTTAAATCATTAAACAAAATAACTTAGTTATTAGATAAAGATAAGTAGATTATTAATCAAATTTATTACTTATTTATCGATAACAATTTTTCAATAGAACCATGGTAATACTGGAATATTGTATAAGGTAACTGTTATACAGTATTATATACAATAAAATTATTGTCGTTTGCTTTTTAGTCCTCAATCTTTCTCAAAGCAATATAATTATGTTAGGAAATATCCTTTCTATTTCGCAAGACTGACAATTTTATACGGTACTTTCCAAATACCATTTTTTTCATAATCTGTACAGTAGGTTACTAGTGGTTGGATATAAAATTTCTTGGCCGTATATTTCTATATGTTGAGATGGTAACCCACTTGTGGTGTAATTTTAAAGTGGTTACAGTCAATTAAAAACCGTAATATGAATTTCCAAACTCAGTATATAAACATAATGATTTGTATAGTTTCATCAATGTACTGGTTAATTAGAACATCAAAATCTTACGATTCTAGTTAATCGGTTTGTGTTACATTGATTGAAAACATCTTTAAATCAAATGGGACAGAAAGAGTAAATTCTTGAAAAGACCGTAGATAAATCGATACGATTAAAACTTTTAAAGCATCCGGTCAAAACTATGCAAATGTACCGCTAATATTTGTTATACAGAATTCGTAAAATTTCATTTCTCTACTCACCTTGATCCCCACGTGTTACTAGTGTGGTTGAACAAACAAAATGTTTTTTATATCCATTTTTACAAGCATTATCTTCTAGACAAAAACTAGCTTTATGACCAACAGCCATAATTTGTTGCTTTGCATTGATAACTTTATAATAAGAGAATACTTTCATACTATGATAATGCCTAAAAGGCAAAATAAGATATAAATTAAAGAGTAATTAAGCAGAGATACATAAACATAATCAAAATACATGAGAAAGAAGTCAATTTTGTTTATTTAATCAAAAATATTTCTGAATAAATTTCATTTTGTATTCTTTATTTGAATATTCCTATTGATGTTTAAGACTGCAATTGATCAGTCTGATATTGGCATATGTTCATCCTGTGAGGATTTCTTCGATATTGCCTTAAGTCCACTGCTAGCCACCATCCATCTTTGCTTATATTGTTTAAATAGTTTACTAAATCGTTTGCTTTAATGTACAGTTATATATTTTTATAGACATACCAATAGTTTATGATCTGTTTAGCATAATTGTGAAACTCAGTCGTATTGATGCTTAATCACTAATGTGTTTATCTTAGTTGAAAATGGGTAAAATGTTGTTAGTATCCAGTGTTTCCAGATTTTCAATGACAATCTAATATTGATCAGTTCATGATTTCACAATAAAAGTCAACAATCTCTACATCTTCGAATTGATAACAAATTAATATTGAACTAAAATATTTCTATGGTTGAGATCATGAGTCAATTGAAGCTAGATCACCATGGAAAACCTGGAAGCACTGAACGGCCGTTCTGTCCTATTGTGGAACTCCTCAGCAGTGCGCATCCACTATCCCACCCTCCGCGAAATTCGAACCCAGGGACTATCTGTCTCGCGCCCGAGCGCTTAACCACTAGACTACTAAACCGGTCGGCATCCAACGATGTTAATGTCTAACTTCAACGAATCCACGAAATTGAGCGACACACACCAATGTCTTTAGTGAGTTACTATCTTACAACAGACCCGGTTGAACTCCACTGGTCACTGCTTCCCACTAGAACTCCAGTCCCACAATAGGACAAAACAGCGGTCCAGTGCTTCCAGGTCTCCAACGGCGGTCTAACATCAATCAGTTCATGATCTCCAACAAATACTATGGAACTATTCGATTAAATTTAGATGAAAGTTCTTATAGAAATTACTAAAATCCAAACATCTTAAAATATAAAGTTGAATAGTCTCAAGTAAATAGCAAAAAATAAAAAAAATAAAGCAAACTGTAAAAATTAATAAAATTCCCGGTCAATGTTTATTTTGAATTAATCATAACCGTTTTATTTCTAATTGTTCAATCCGATTTGTCGTGGAACTTTGAATTATTTCGATGAAATTATAGAGTTAACAATAAAAAAATATGTTCGTGCTTTGATTTTATAAATGATTTGATTTAGTTTTTAGTCACTTGATTTGTGCGTGAGCTAAGATACTGCCCAAGTGATCAAACTGAAGCGGGTGGTTTCCTTAGGGGACCACATGCAGAGTATTCTATCTAAAGGTAGGGGAGCAACGTCAGACTATGCAGTCCCATGGTAGCCGGTGGCCAACAATAGGTCCTTACGCTTACTGTTCTCTCAGGATACTGGAGCCCATGTGCATCATTGGTTTGGAATCAGGGTTTTTCAACCCCCCCGGGTGAACCCTTCGAGTCCACCAACTCGGTTAAAGTGCCGAACATTAGCTTTTCGTCCTCTAAATTTCGTAAACAACACCGGCAAGGTGCAAGACTTCCCTGGTAGTGGCTGTGTACGCGTGGCCATGTAAAAGCATCTTGAGAGAGAGAGAGAGAGAGAGTGCTGACTCTCCTCACCCACGGCCGTACCAGGGCATTTGGGGGCAAGTAGTTTTTAGTGGCCGATATCCTAAGTATTTTTAATGAACTTCTTTTTTCTATATATTAGTGTTCATATTCTTATTCTACTAAAATGAAATTGAAAAATTAACATAGAATGTATTTACTAAAAGTTACTTTTTAAATTCTGAGTAACTCAGATTTATTCAATTTCTAGGGATTAACTAACTCGAATTCTTATCATTCATCACTTTTAGCGAGAATAAATCATTCGTGGATAAACAAAATAAATATATTTCCATCAAGGAGTGAATTAGTATGGAATGAATGAGATTGTACATTTGTATCATACCGTTTAATATCATGTTTATGCATTTTTTTTCAGACATTTTAAAAAATAAATCCTGATATCATTGATAGATGGAATTTTCCACAAATCAAACCATGTTTGTAATACTTTTTTCATCCGTTGAATTGTAAATCATAACTTTTGAGAAAAGAAACTTCTCTGTTAAATCATTTTAGAATAAACAAATATACATACCATGTCATAATGAGGTATGTAAAATATTGTTAAAAACTGTAATCACACATTGGATATAAGACAAACTAAACTTAAGCTCTCGAAAAAAGTGTTTAGCTGCCCGGTATCGGACTCCAGTAATATCGTATAATTAGTTGTTATTGAAATATACATATCGTCAATCCTCGTATATGATTATCGACTTAATCCGCGTTGGTGAATAACGAAATTAAATAATTCAAATACGAGAATGGATTTTTGAATGCGTATATTTTGTATCCGTTGATCGGAACATTTAATCAGAGAATCACAGCGAATGAAGCGAAGAGAGAGCGAAGCGAAACGAAAGGACTCGCAGTGGAGAAGGCGTGTGAGCCAACTCCATTTAATCAAGCGTTAATCAATAATCATAGCCAGATAAAATAGGTTACAGGCATGTGATGAATAGGATAAAAAGTGTACACACATACGCTCATATAAAAACAGTCAAAGTTGATAAGTGAATATTTGACAAGGTCAAAACGTGACTCAAGGAGAATGAATAGATTGGCTTATCTGGAAGCTAGAATATGCTATGTGGTTTTAACATAGCACTACAAGTAAATACACTATGAACAACAAGTTTACTTAAATTCACAGAGCCCCCAAATGCCCTGGTACGGCCGAGAGTGGGGAGAGTCCGCTCTCCCTCTCGAAATGCTCTCATATGGCCACGCGTATATAGCCTCTGCCAGGGAAGTCCTACTCACTGCCTTCTCGTGGCGGGGGTGTTGTTTACGAAAATGAGAGGACGAAAAGCGAATGTCCGGCGCTTTAACCGGGTTCCAAATGGTGCACATGGGCTCCAGTATCCTGCGGGAACAAATGGCGTATGAACCAATTGTTGGTCACCGGCTTCCATGGGACTGCATCTCCTCACGATGCTCCACTGCCTTGTGGATCAGACCTTCAGGTCAAAGGCTCGGGAGGTGGCCCCCTAAGAAAACCACCTGCTTCGGTTTGGGCACCCGGGCAGTATCACAGCCCTCACACATATCGAATGAGATTTGTGTGGTGCATATGCATTTGGTGCCTCCTTGTACCAATGTCTATGTGTTAAAATACATAATAAAATTCACAGAACCTAATATTCTATATATAGATAAAGAAGATGAAGAATGGTAAGTCACATATTGTTGAAGTAAGTTTATTTTTATTTTGGTTGAAGGGATTTTGTGAAGGGTAGTTCAATCTATAGGTTGTAGTCGCCACCTACAGGCCACAGTTAGGTTACCACTAAAAACCAAGGAGGACTGGATAGATGTTTCATCCTAGTATAGAACTTCTTATCACTGAACATCCACAACCCAATCAGAGATTAAATACAGAAAGTTAAGGACTTGCTGCTGGCGTTCAACCGTTAAAGGACTGAACCAGTATCCAGTTTATTACACATCTTGCTTCAATTAATTCGTAAACCTTTTAATACCTCAAACTTGACATTTATGAACTCCAATAATCATGACTTCTCACCAGAACTCCTGGAATTACCTTTAAAAATTGGTAACTAGAGAACCCACAATTTTTCTATGTTTTCATAATTGACAAGTAATTGCAAAACAGAATGAGTGAATATTATTTTCTTCACATTTTTATATTTATTAATAACATATACTGATAAAATCAAACGTACTTTAATTATTCATCTATAAAATTGGTATTTGGTAACTCACTATACAATACATTTGTATACTTATTGGCTAGAAAATTTGTATTTCTTTTAAAATAGCTCTGTCACTATTCTATTTTTATTCAATTCATAACTTTGTTGATGGCTAACGAGTGTGAGTAATTGCAGTTGAAGTAATAAAGTTTTGATTGACAAGCAATGAATGAGTCGACTGATATCAGTATTAAAATAATTATAATTTAATAAATCATACTGATTATATTTAGAATATTTTTAAGTTTTTGTAAAGATGAATTGTGTCTGGGAGTAAAATCCGGGACGCCTACCTCATCCTGTTTGAGATTCATCAGATAGATATGTCCTTATCCCATTGTCGTTGTTCATCCTGGGTCTAGAAACCGGTAACTTTTTCGTCGAATGTCCAACGCCCTACTCACTGAGTCACTGGGTTCAGTTGGTCACGAATTCATTCAACTGATATGAAGTTGTACGTATGTAAGGTTTCTGGTTTTATAGTTGTGGATGCAAATACTGGGCTCTCGTTCCGCTATGATAATTGAAGCTGTAGTACATAAACAATCCGCCGATGAGTCACAATTAGCACAAGACATGTGTCCTGGATTTAAGTGCTAAACACAATCCATCATTTTGATCTGAAGTTTCTAAACTTATAGGTAGTTTGATACTACTTTCGATCCCTCATAGAACATAAACATGAACAAACGCATTTTTTAACAATTAACTTGACTAACTTACATATGGCATGCATGCCATACCCATCGTTCAGGCGGTTCATGTGGACGAAAGACATCAGTTCCAACATTGTGTATAATTGAAGAAAAACGCAATAAACGACGCATATGCATCAACGCTAAATGTCGATTTCTGTTAATCAAATTATAAACACTCGGAGGAAAGCAGTTTTCTTCTAAAGCACATTGTGCTTGAAATAAAGGAATCATACTACTGTAAGCTGAAGATTCCAATGCTTTAACATCTGGTTCCAAATCAGCTAAAACTATATTTACAAATAAAAACATTGATTTATGGTTATAGTTGAAAATGTTACTCAGCAGCATGAAGCAACCACAAACAACTTGTTCACGATCATACTATAAATGCATGCAACTCAAATGACTCATTCTCATTAAATAAGATTCTTTCATACTCATCCGCTTGCACACACACAAAAGGCATGTGCCATATAGAACCACAGTTATGTAGTAAAACAAGGAGTTTAGTTTTTAATTTATATATGTTATAACTCTCGGTTTTCCTTGTCTACACAAATGGGACGCTAATTACCCGTAGACAAATATCTACACTAGATACCCCCCCAGTGTCTATTCTACAGGATGTCAACACAACTCAGATCAAGAACACGTGATTAGCCTGACTAGAACGTAAGTATATTTACACACCAAAAACCGACAACAATCACAATAATAAGGGTAAGAGAATAGATAACTTATCCAGTACCTGTCAAACTACCTACTAGTTTGACGAAGGAAATAACCAATAATTATCATTCTTGTCCGAACATCAATATATATTGCTTGTATTGTACCTTCTAGTTGATTCATAGGACAGTCAATTTTGGGATACTTGGATCGTGTGTAGATTCACAAAAAATATGAACATAAACTGAGATTCAAAACAATGATAATGTTTATCATTACTGATTGAAATAAAAGTATTCTGGTAATCTTGTAAAAGTCATTATTTTAGTCTATTTTGTTCAACTGCATGGCGATTTCATCGAGGGGTTATAAATAAACTTTATTAGACGTATAAATTGCTTTTCTTCTAGATTTAGAATGGGCTTGTGAATGAAATATTATTCACGAAATATTAAAAACACTTCATGACTACGCAAAAATTCATTCCATTATGAAGTGTATGACTTGCTTAGCCATTGTGCTCGATAGTTTTACATAAACTCTATACATCTTATGGAATGTGGAAAATTTGTATTAAGAAAGATATCTAAACTTGTATAATTTAAGTTCTATTTGATATTCTGCATAAATAGTATTAGTTTCTATTTAGGGAATTCACTTAATTAACGTATAACTTAAGGTGTTGGCTCATCAGCTGTCTCTGTCAAACATCCTTCACATGATAGATCGAAACAATTATCATAAACACTTGAGAGCATAAAAATGTCAACTGTTTTCATTGCATTTGACTCTGCAGTTTGATGCTGAATGACTGGATTAACAACAGTCATCAATACAAACTACTGTACATGATATGTATGAATAACAAAATAATTATCTAAATTTAAAATTACCAGTTTACCTGTTGAACAGTTTACTACTATTCCCAAACTATTATTTGAACATGGCACTCCGTTTGGATCAGTGAATGCAACACAATCTTCTAATTTTGATTCATTTCCAAAACAATGCCCGATTCGTACAACCGGATAAGGTATGGTAAAAATCTTCACGTTTTTCAGTGGAATCTTAAAATAAACAGCATTTTATGATTGCAATGATTTAGGTAGGAAAATCATCACTTATCAAATTATATGCAATTTAGTTACATAGCATATGATTTTTAAATCTAAAATACTATCACTAGGTGAATGCTAAATAAACCGTTAATATAATGAAAGTGCCTTTATTAAATTTCGGACGATATCAATTAGGTTTTACTGAGTAGTCTTACATTAAAATTAAGCATTTAATCAGTTCATTCCTGTTTGTTGTTTGATTGTGAATTTGGGAAGAAAAGTATCTGTGAATCAGAAACAAAGAATGTTTATGTGCATTCAAATATCTGTTATATTTATATTATGAAGCACCTGTTGTTTTACATAAATGTTAGTGGGCATTTATTCAGTAAGTGGTGTTAATGAGTTTTCGATTAGATATATTAATGTCGTTACATTAGACTACTGATCTGATTCAATTTTCAATAAACTCTTTGGATCCGTATACCATGAAATACAGTGTCTTTAACAGATTGTAATAAAAGGATTGCAAGACTCTTGGTATGTTGTAGATATCTAATGAAGGACGTCGGTTAATTTATTTCTGAATCATAACCTCTGGAACCAAAGGATTAAGAGTGCAATGAAACTGTATAATTTTAGAATTTTACTGAAAGGTCAACATTCAATCAAAGAACTATTATTTCAGTGATTTAAGTCCTTTACAACTGCTTTGTCACATAAAATGATATTAAATATATATTTAGTCACTTATAATCAGTGGGTTGGATACTAAATCTATAATCCTTTACAAGAGACTTTAACTAACTGATTTCATTTTTACTGAAGAGTGATAATAAATGACGTGTAAAAAAAACAATTTACGAAAAGCTTGGAAAAACGTCTTCTGTAGAAAGCTTAAAAAATGAAAGAGAGAACAAACAATTCACATAAAGTAAAAGGAACTTTATTTAACTTCTGTTCCAGTCAAAATTGTATTATCATCTTGCAAAGATAGACATTATAATACGTAGAAGAAAAGACAACTGTACGTGCACATAACAGTTTCAAAAGTTCGTAAGTTATTGACTAACATATTAAAAATCAGCACATTTAAATTATAAGTACATTATTGGCTTCTGTAGAAATTGTATCGTAAAAAAGCCTATGAAAAGATAATAATTTGATAAACATTATTACATGAATGAGTTAAAGATTGATACTGTGGTTGATATAAAGAATACTGAGATTATTTAATGAGTTTTAATGAATATTCACAAAAATTTGATTGATCTTATTTTGAATATTAACAATCAGTAATAAACATCATAGAAGTTTAGTCAGTTGGTGGGTATTACGATTCTGTAGCCCAGTAAGTAACGCCTGGGCGTCTGAAGTTGTGAGTATTTTTTTCATGTCCCAGTATAAATATCAACACCTAATGGATTTTATTGTTGATGACAACTTGTGGATACATACCGCTAGTTCAAGGAGCCTATACTCCGAAAAAGATGGACTGAAGTTTCTCTTAATTGTTAATAACAGGAAAATAAACACCCTCACAAATATTGATAAACTTTAAATTAGTTTATCATTACAATGAACAAAGCCGCTAGTGTTATAGATTATGGACTTCTTAGCTATATCTTAATGAGTAACATAGTTAATGTTAGTCACCTAAAAATTTGGTGTCAGCTTCAAAAGTTTGTAAAAAGTGAAGATAATTTAGCTTGGTAAATGAAACTCAGACATTTGTCTCAAAGTTACCCAATATCATGAGTTCGAAATACTAAAAAACTATGTATTTGCAAATTCATTACTCATAATTTATGATAAATCTGACCTAGAAATAGTGGTTACAATGAAATTAATTAACTTACTGAAGAATATGATGAAGCAAATGAATAATCCATGCTTCGACATGCTACATTCGCTTCAGCTCCACGAAACTGGTCGACACAAATAGCTCCAATAACCATTCGTCGATTTCTACCTTGTGGAACTCGAGCCTTGACAATAAAAAGATTACTGCTTTCAAATGTTTCCAGCTCAGACCAAAATATTTGCTAAAATTAAAAGTTCAGTAGTATAAAATTTGAATTACTAACCCTTATTACCTTACTTTCCCTACTATTATATTAAAATGAATAGTCAATACTCAGTAATAAAATTTTCAAACTAAAACATTTCTAGCAATCTAAGTGTGGGTGAAAACGAAGTGATGATTGGCGTTTCTGTATAATAATACACTATTTAGATATATATGTACGATTAGATAAACGCGTTCATAAGGTTAATGCAACTATTTTCTGGAACACTTAAGAATTTTGGAAACAAGTGTTCTGTCCTCCTCAAGAGATGGTGTCACATGCATGCGTGCTAGTAAGCGTTATCTTATTTATAAAGGCCTTCAATACTTTCATAAGTATTTTTTACTCGGCGAAGATTGGATTATTTGAAGCATAGAGCAGATATTCAGCTGCTTTACTGGCTTACCACGATGTAGCCTAATGAGAAGGTCAATCTACAAAAATCAGAAGGACCTAAAGGACAAGTACATTTCATTGGCTAATAAATGAGTCGATTTACTAAGGATAGAGTGATATGTTTATGAATGAGTATGTTCGCAATTTATGCGGTAGTCTAATACACTTTCTTGCTCACTCTTGTGTTCTCTCTCAGTAGTCAGTTGGGGAGGTGTTAGCGCGTAGCACACCGTGTATCAGTATCGGATTTTGAACACCCCCTGTCACAACGTAAACCATAACATTGGCGTCAAATACTGAATGCATCACAGTTAAGATAACGGTGTAATTCTGTTATACTGTTGGAAATAATGTCAATGAAGTGTGGAGCTCAAGATTCAGGAACAAGATGGAACAAAGTTGGTAAGATTTCTCAGCTTATTAGTGGTTGAGTTATTTAAAGCTGTTGTTCCAGTAAGAATTCACCTTCTAAGAGATTCATATTTTCCTCTAGCCTCGTAACCAGTGGGTGCACTTAGACAAACTGAAAGCTTCTCATAGTTTTGGCTTGATTGAACATAAACAACTTCTATTCTCTTTTTCTTCAGGCCATTAATAAAAAATGTCACTTGGGTGGTTATAGCAGCACTTACTCTTTCCATAAGTGTTAAGCGGATATTAAGATGTTAAAAAATCAACTAATCATAAGAAAAATGCTTCTTTGAACAGTTATAAATTGAAGAATGCCTGGAGTAGAAAATTAGGTATAAAATTAACGTTGGTCCATAGTTTAAAATAACAACGAAGTATTTATTTATAAAAGCCTTGTGGGAGCTGAGTGGTTCTTTTGGGAATGGTTTTCTAGCGCCTTCTAATCGACGAATCAGGCATTTTGAGAGATTCTGAGAGATATAATAATGATGCAAATATTGACTAGAGAATAATTTTTGACCAGTTAAATTTTAATAAATTGTCAATCATGCACCATAAATTAAGTTTAAGATGTTACATTTTATTGATGTTAAGTTATTATTAAGTTGAATGTTTGTAGAGTTCATCTAAGTATTAAGTATACGTTGGTATTCACCATCAGTACATGTCTGCAGTCGCAAAGAATATGATGGTTATACCTTAGGACGTTTGGACGACATTAATAAAAACTTTGGATAACAGTGTTTTGATAAAGTTTTCCTAAGTATCGTAAATGATAAAAATTGGTTGCAGATACAACTCAGAACTAGCCCGCTTAAAAGGACTAAAATTATATCCTTTCGAAATATACTTTAGCTAGTACGAATAGATACATCCAATAATACATAGACTGAAGTCGATAAGCGCTTATATTTCATGTTTACTGATTTCTGATCGTGTCTTCACTTCAATTTTAAGTTTCTACTGATGGCGTTTTATAGAGGGACAGTGAAACCTGTATGATTAAGCCATCAAACTGAGTGATCGCAACATTACTAAAATGTTCAGACAGGAATATCAAAACATCATTTCAACAAATATTTCATTGAACATACTTCAACTACTTAATAGTAGTATGATATTAAAATAAAAAAATTACAAATGAGTCAACTACCAAGGACGGTAATGTAGTCTATTATCTTAATTTTTCAGGAATTAACATCCTTGTCTGTCAATTTGACGTTTGTTTAACCCTAGATGGCCATTAAACTGATTTTATTGACAATAATCAACAGTGAGTATAAAAATCTTATCATTAGAACTAATTTGATTAATTTATTGTTTCAAAAAAGTGTGAAAAGTAGTATTTTGTACATGAGTATTCAGAAATGTGAGAGCTTAAAGCTCAAAACGTTAGTTTCTGCTTACCAAGCGATGAATACTAAGCTGTTTCGATGTGTTCATAATCCGATACTATTTACGTTCACATATCGAAATCTCCTTTATTGTTCAGAACATTTAATATTCCACAACGTTTTCTGTTACTCTCAAGCATAATAAAAACAGTTTAGCAAAGAAAAGTTTCTTTGCAGTTGTTCCATTTATTTAAACAGTTCTGCTGAGTTCATAGTTATTTTACACACAGTAGCATAGAATAAAATGAAATTTTAGTAGATCATTAACAAGGTTACTGGAGACTAAATGTCGAATGTGAGTTACGTTATAACTGGGCAGTTATAACGAGAAGATAAAGTAAAGAGAACATACAGGAGAGTTATATGGATGATGATTGTCCAACTAACAAACATGATTCAAATCAAAAGGAAACGGACACATTTCGAAAATAACTGACAAGGCTGTAAAACTAGAGAGGAATGGGTTGCTATTAGTGAATCTGGACGGAAATCAATTTTCCTTAAGTAATTATGGAATTTTATTCAATTCCTTATATACTTCACAATTTTTACAGACTTTTCTAGCTCCCAAAAACAGAGAATGTACTAGATTTTCCTAATATTATTTTTCATATCTATAATCCGATTATTATGTAAAATTTGATATAAATCAAATCATTCATGCTTCTCAGACATGAAGTAGGCAAGTTTAATTAAGTATATTCGAAAGTAACAGTATATACATAATGTTGAATACCATGAGTATCGTGAAAGGAATAAATACTTACAAAGTAACATAATTTAAGTGATTGTATATGTTTTTAAATATACCAAACATTACAAAAGATGATAACTACTGACTACATAAAAACAAAACTAGTTAAGCTTAATTCGGTTCACCCACTATAAGCGGATATGTAGTTATTCTTACCATTAGTAGAACCTGAATTCGAAATGGTAACCAAGTCGCTACAAGTGTTAGTAATTCAAAAGTATTAGGAATTAGATAATTTACAAAGTTTTAAAAGTATGATGGAATTACTCCGACAAGAATGTAAAGCCTCTTTAAATACAACGATTTGTCAACCTATAGTTTCATCTTTAGTTTTATACAATTACTGATGACTGAATGTATGGATTTTATTAATTCCTTGATATTATGTACTAAACTCGATAAGCGATAGTTTTGACTGATTAACATACCAAAATTGTGTAATGATTAGCTGAGAAATCAGTTACTGATATTAACGTGGGATACGGTAATTTACAGCAAATACTATCGAATAGATAAAAAAATCCACCCAGAGAAAACTTCATATTGCCAATCGTTAAGTAAATTGTTGTATCCCGATAAGAATAATGAATGGTAACTTTTGAGACCCATTTATGGACTAATATTATGAGTATATTTTTATCGTATAATTGTTATGTAACTAAACTGTTCATATTCATGTCCCTCTTATTATGAGCTTTATTTTGACCTATGAACTATTATTATACGATCTACCATTCTTGAATTATGCCCTGTCAATTAATTACTACCTCCCTCATTCACGTCCACATTTGATTAGTTCTTGTACAAATGTTGTTTCATATTTTATTGGTACGTTGTGGTCGGTTTGATTGGTATATAAACTCAGTGTGCTTGAAATATAATGATTCATATCTCAGAGGCTGACTTGCGTTCTGGACTCAACTGGCTGGGTTAGACAGGGGAGCGGGACCAATCGGGACTCTAGGCCGTTCTTACGTGTTCCGATCGATAAATTTCTGCTGTCTAATCTGCAGTCACAAGTTATAATATAAATAAATATAATTCATTCTTAGGTCTACTCAACAAAATTATCGAATCATTTCTACAAATCTCTACTGAAAATTATCTGTTTTTTGAATAACGAATATATGTAATGACTTTTTAATGCATAATTAAAAGAACATTGAATGGATTTTTAGGTTTTTCTAGTATTTAGCTATAAATAAATAAAAATTAGGGAACTAAATACTATAGATCCACAAAAAAAGTTTTTCTGTTGACAATAAAGCTGAATATACACACAATCAATCTATCGATAATACAAGAACGATAGGTGGAATTCATTAGAATTAAGTTTTTGATACCCTATCATAAAATGATAACTATAAAAATCAAAATGTCATTCAAAATAAATAGTTGTTTACAATTAAGTATACTGGTAACATGTGGTATTATGTTTCTTGTACTTTTAAATACTATTTCATTCAAGTTTAATAACTCTTTCATTGTTTTTAAACTATTTATGATAAGAGATTATAAAATTTTAATAAAATTCCCTAATTACCCTATATATATACTTTCGTATGACTGACAGTTGTGAATGGTCAGTTAGTAATTAGAAAATCTCCTACTTTATCTATATAATCCACTGACTTGTTTATATATATATATATTACTTAAATAATAATTTAAAAGTAAAAAAAAACGGTATAAACGTTTTTGAAGTATTGGTAAAAGCAGATGACAGAGTAAAGTAATTGAAACAAGAACTAAAATAATGGTTTGTTTTTTTTCTTTTATAAATAAAGTGTATTTATTTTGTTCATGTGATTGTATCGAGAGGAGATTTAAGCAACAATAAAAATAGGAATTACAATCGACTTTTTTCGCATATCACTAACGATACTTAAAGTTTTATTGACAAACGAATTATATTAAGTGATGAATGAAAGAAGATTTAAGACACTATTATTTTTGAATTAGTTTATTTTACTTAACATTTTATTATATAAAGATATTTAGATGATACTATTCACACTTTTACATAAATGTAGATTTGATCATTTCAAATAAATTGAACATTAAATAGATTAATCATTATATGTGAAAATTATATTTGAAATAATTTTAACAATTGAAATTTAACTAATTCCAACGTTTCGTCCAGCTAACTTGTCTGGACTTCTTCAGGGTAATAATCAAAATCAATTACTGTCAAACTATTCCTTCTAATCTTGACGAATATTCGTATAAATTGAATAGATTGTTATATAAATAAATTAATAAATTTGTAATATCTCAATGAGTAGAAAAAATTAGATTGTTTGATATTTCATGGCTTAATAGAAGCCATTTTTATTTATTCTCTGAAGAAGTGACTTAAACTAAGTTATGAAAAGTCAAAAAAATCTAATTTTTCTACTCATTGAGCTATTAAAAACATCAGTAATCTCCCCTATACATGATTCATTCACTTCCCATTCATACCTACGTATTACGTGTTACTTGTTTGATCGAATTGTAATTGCACTATTATTTCTCTCTCACCCTATTTGACTCATATTTATTCTGATCATGGATCTTAAAATTTCACTTTACATATACGCAGATTCAAGTTAACATTCTATATGAGTCATTTTAACATTAATAATTTTATTGTATTTTGTTTATCACAGTCCTAAATTCACGTGGTTTAAACGATGTACTTTACCCTTGACCTGGACAATTTTTTGAATTATTCATTTGGATATATAATCGTAGAACCTGAAGGGAATTTATCGAAAAGAATATTCTTCGTTCAAGTACCAGTCTTTTAATATTACAGATATATTAATTTTTATCAGAAGGGGTTTGTGGAGATTTTAGAAATTTCACAGATTGAAATCATGAGTCAGTTGAAGCTAGACCACCATGGGAAACCTGGAAGCATTGGATGGCCGTTTCGTCCTAGTATGGGACTCCTCAGCAGTGTGCATCCACGATCCCGCATCCCGCGCAACTTCGTGTATTGGTTGAAGTTAGACATTGACACCACTGGACGCCGGCTCAGTAGTCTAGTTGGTTAAGCGCTTGGCGCGAGACCGATAGTTCCTGGGTTCGAATCTCGCGGGGTGCGGGATCGTGCATGCGCACTGCTGAGGGGTCCCATACTGGGACGAAACGGCCATCCAGTGCTTCCAGGTTTTCCATGGTGGTCTAGCTTCAATTGACTCGTGATTTCAATCAGTGAAGTTTTTAAAATCTTCACAAACCCCTTCTGATAATAATCATCCGCTCACTAGTGACTGACTTGAAGAGATACTCCTGGAGTTCTAGTGAGAAGCCGTTACCAGTGGAGTTCAACCAGGTCTGTTATGAGATGGTGTACGGTGACGCAAATTCGTAAATATATTAATTTATTTATAAATGTAGATTGTGAAATCATAGTAAAAAAGAATGATTAAATGGAATAAAATTATTAACATTACAGTTTGTTCAATTTCTTATTCACTAATATTAACTTACAGTGTTTGTTATTGAAACTATGTAATTTATTCACTTTTCTATATAAGGTTAAATAATACTTTCGACATGTATTTCAAACATTTATATGAAAAGAAAAGTATTTTGAAAAGGATAGTTACTTTCTATGTTGTAGTGGTCATTTTCGATGATCGTTTCTTAAGTTAGTCATTCAACTGAATGACTAAGTTGATAGTATATGTTGAATTGTATGAACATAGTTGGTCAGTTTAGATTTTGTTCTAGTTTTATGGATCAATGAGAAATTTCTCTGAATATGATAAAAAATATTTATTTTAAAATAAAATGTGATTCCTTAATTGTTAACGTTAAAGGATATACCACTCTACTCTGCCCATGATTTACTTACCTACTTACGTATGCCTGTTACTCCCAGTGGAGCATAGGCCACCGACCAGCATTCTCCAACACACTCTGTCGTGGACTTTCCTTTCTAGTTCTATCCAATTGTTGTCCATTCTTCTCATGTCTGTCTCCATTTCTCGGCTTAATGTGTTCTTTGGTATTCCTCTCCTCCTTCCACCCTGATGATTCCGAGTGAGTGCTTGCCTTGTGACGCAGTTGGGTGATTTCCTCAATGTGTGTCCTATCCACTTCCAGCGCTTCTTCCTGATTTCTTCCTCCGCTGCAATCTGGTTTGTTCTTTCCCATAATAGATTGTTGTTGTTAGTGTCTGGCGAACAAATCCGAAGTGTTTTGCGTAGACAACTGTTAATAAACACCTGTATTTTCTGGATGATGGATTTCGTAGTACTCCAGGTTTCCGCTCAATACGGTAGAACTATCTTGACATTTGTATTGAAAATTCTGACTTTGGTGTTGGTTGACAGATGTTTTGAGTTCCAAATGTTCTTCAGTTGTAAATATGCTATTCTTGCCTTGCCGATCCGTGCCTTCACTTCTGCATCAGATCCACCATGTTCATCAATGATGCTGCCCAGATATGTAAACATTTTTACACCATCCAAAGCCGAGTTCCCTGATTTACTTTTATAATACTAATATATTTATAGTGTGAAGCTTGAAATTCATTTTCCGGTAAATTTCGATCCAAGTGATGCAAAATTAAAGTGTCTATCTTCTAATGATGGCATTTGATAATTCGAGCTTGTAGAATGCTAAACTTTCTTATACTTAAACTTTTTTTCTAACTAGTAAAAAAATGCTCCAAACTTTAAGAATGATTTGGGCATTAAATTTTTCACGTCTTTCACACATGAAGTAGCCAAGAAATGATAATAACTAGTTATATAAATACATAGGAATTCTACGTAAAAAACATATTCCGTACTATAGTTAAAACCATTTCATGACGTACAAAAGTAGTTACTTTGGTGGAGTTTTGTTTTTTAAGCTGGATTGTTTGGTTATGGAGCTTTTATCGTCCTTGTGAATGATGAAAACTTTACGACCAAACCATCCAGCTTAAAAAACAAAGCTCCATCAAAATCATCCATCTGCAAAAAACACAAAAGTAATAAAATTCCGTTTCACGCAAGTATCTCAAGCAACATAATAGGGCCTGAGTGTAGGCCATATTTGTTTTAGATTATTTCAGATTAGAAACCACTGACCTGGAGTAGAAACTAATACTAACCAGAACTATATATATAGTCTTTATGAACTAAAAACTGCCACGTCAAGAAGTGCCACAAACGTCACTTCAGTGTAATGATTACTTAACGAATCAAAGGAAATGTAAGGCACATTAAGACTCATTTATAATAAAGTTATATGCGCTAATTTCTTATAGTTTAGACTAGGTAAAGAAGAATATCTAACAAATGCCATCACATATTATTTAGGAGATGAAAAAGTGTGATATTATTGCTAGATTTTCCCTAGATAATTTGAAAATCTTTCGAAACTTTTGTACCAAGGGACAAATAATGTTGAGTATTTGCAGAATTTTGTGTTAAATAATCAATCTTAGTTTGATTGCAGTAATTTTATGAATTAAAAGAAATATTGCATAGCATAGCGAAGGCCTGAAATAACTCATTAATATACAGATATATGCGACACTATGATTTATTATCACTGGAGAGGATGACACAATCTTTGGGAGTACCTGATATTATTCTCGTACCGGTTTGTGGTAATTGGTACAGTCAAACAGAAGGGACATTTTTATTTTTTGACTGTAGAGACTTTCATTTTTTTAAGAAGAAACGGTAATATTTTACAGTAATATTTTACTAGTTTTTTGTTAGCATAATTTGACATCACGGTTGAAAACCTTCCAATATTCTATGAGATAACATAACCAGCATGCCGCCATTGAGTTAACATTAAGACTCTCAATGATTATAAAACGATGACTATTTTATGCAATCTTTTATCAATGTCAAAACAGATTTATGACTATTTATAAACGTTCATAAAATATAAAAATACAAACCTTAGCGCTAAATGTTTAAAATTCTAGTACAGATTATAGAATGGTAGCTTATTTTTCACTGACCTGTTTCATCCTTTTAATATCAGTAATAGACAATTTTTCAATTTGAGGATTCCTAACATTATATTGCCATTTAATTGGTTCAGGATTAAGACAAATAACACCAGCTTCTTCTCGTTTTAAACAATCATGTTCTGTCCAATAAACACATTCATTTAAATAGGATTCAGTTCCTTTACAATAGACATCATCCAGTAAGTAATCATCTGACAAGTGAAATAAGAAATATCAGATCGTATGTAGATAGATATGAAAAGCGATATAATAGATATTTTCAAGGTCAAAAAATAATAATCCTAAGTAAGCGAAAGTAAATTCAAAGGAAAAAGTATCAAAAAATAAACTTTGATCAGTAATAAGTCATTTTCTTGATTTTGATTTTGATTATTACCCTGAAGAAGTCCAGAAAAGTTAGCTGGACGAAACGTTGGAATTAGTTAAATTTCAATCGCTGAGAATATTTCAAATATAATTTTCACATATAATGACTTCTCTATACTCGGCGCTCAATTACTGTCAAACTATTCGTTCTAATCTTGACGAATATTCGTATAAATTTTCTAAAGTACTTTCATAACATGAGACAGAGTGTGTTCATAAGATAGAACAAAGAATACTGCTATGAAACTAATCAATTTTCAGGTGGTCGGTGTACAACGTTATTTGTCATGTAAGAAATCATTGTCTATGTGTGCAAATGAATGAACTGTATTTAATGTAAAGTTCATATCTATGTATAACTCAAGGATATGGCAAGTGAAGACCCTAGTAGTCATATTATTTGGAATAGCTTAGATTTTCAGATATCACAAATGATATAGGACTACCGATGAAAGCTGGTATAGGACACTAAGCAACCCAAATGTCTATAATATAACTTTGTACTTTGTATAGTATTAAGTCGAAGGTTTTCTATGACCTTTTTCTCCTTATACATTATGAATAGAGGTTTATTTACGAAAGATTATGTTAGTATAGGTTATTGTGACTACTATTCAGTTTTTATAGTTTTACATCAGGGACTGAAGTTAGTTAGACAACCATTGGGTGAGAACTTAGTGGTCTGATGGTTAAGAGCTGGCCGTGAGGTCTGATGGTCCTCGCTCAGACCCCTGATAAGGTGACGGATAAGCACTTGTGGGGAGTTCCATAAAAGGACTACACAGTTATTCAATATCTTCTGTTTTCGGTAACTGCTCAAGATTACCCCACGACGTAAAACCATAAAACAATGTAATAGATAGTTGGTATATGGAGATCAGACGAACCAGGAGATAAGTTTGGTAAAGATGTTCCGCCGTTTATAGGACCATTGAATAGCAGATATTAGGTGAGAGTTTTCATCATTTCAATACAACTAAGTTGTATATAATGAATAACCTAAGCGAGATCAAATCTAGCAGCTTTTCGTCTCGTAGTGAGCACTATACTCGTGGACCACTGAGTCCAACTGTTTTAAACAGCGAAATTACTAAACATCTGTTGGATGAGTGGCATCAGTTTGATACCGTACAATCTTTCAAGTTGATTAATAAATATCCGAACTCCAGTCTTTTGAAGTTTACTGAAGTCGTTGCTACTAGGAGTCAAAAACCTATTTTACGTGTTCGAAAGTAGATGACTGTTAATGTTTCCTTGGTTTGGTGACAAATATTCCTTTATTACATCATAAAGTCTTTCTCCTAACTAATTACATCACTTTGCCATTTTATTTCGACTGTCTTCTAGATTAGTAATCTTGTTTTAATTAACTGAGCTTTACTCGTCTTATTCTTATTATCAGCGTTTACATGTTACGCACTCACTTGTTTCTAGACCATTGGACATTTGCTACTATCAATGTTGTAGAATGTTCTTTTACATAAGGCATACATTTACAATATTTTATTCGATCTATTAAATTTATTTATATCCTTGCTATGCTACACCTATATGCCTTCAAAGTAACTACCGTCTAAACTCTTTCATGTAAGCAATTTAAAACCATTTTATAATTACGATTTTCAAACATCACATGTCATAAGCAGCTGACGAGAACCAAACGAATTAAAATGAATTCATTCTATTCTGCTTAAGTCTTTGTCCTTATTCTCTTCAATAATAAATAATAATGTAATTTGATAAAAGAAAATATCCGATATTGTAAAAAGAAATTAAGTAGCCAGTATGTTTCATTACATTTAACTGAACTAAAATATGAATTTATTTGTATTTAGACATTTATCTATTGTACAATTAGATATGTAAATGTTAAGCTAATAGAATCATACTGTTTTCATGCTGCTTAATAAATGAATATTTCCTATGTTATTTGATTTAATTTACTAAAAAGACTAAATAAAACAGACCTTTAGTTTAAACAATGCTGTAATTTTAAAATTTCCCATAAAAGATTTATTATGGATTAAGCAAAGATGGATAGTGGCTATCAGTGGAATCCAGGATGCCTGTTTTGTCCTATTTGGGAATTGTCAGCTGGATGTACTAGCATCCCTGAATTAATGTCAACCCCGGAACTCGAACCCAATGCTGTCCTCTTCAAACACTACCACGTTATCCATTTAGCTACTGAGACCTGATAGCTACTTGCTTGTGCAATGGGGTGAAGTTTAAATTCACTTGGTATCGTTTTACTTGTATCTTCCTAGAGTAAACATCAACTCTGGGATACAAGTATATCCAGCTGACGAGTCCCTAATAGGACGAAATGCGAGTCCTGGATTCCACTGCCAGCCATTATCCATCTTAGCTTAAAAAGCTTATGATTATATGCTACATCGAGGCAATCCGCACAGAATGCACATATGCCAACAAGAGTCTGATCAATTGCAGTTCTAAATAACAATGGGAAGATACAAGTAAAACAACACCAAGTGAATTTATTTTGGAGTATTTTGAAACCAACATTTACACCTTTTTCAAATGATGAATGTACAGAATTCATTGAACAGATATATTTCTTTAGGAAAATAAACAATCCTATTTGTACAAATCAATCTTTTTACTCACAACTTCTGTTACCTGAGACCTTCAAACGTATCATTGCTTTGAATATTTTATTCAAAGTCAATTCGTTTAAATTAACCACCTTAAAGAGAATTTATTAGTTGTTTTTATTAATGCTTTTCAGTTAATCATCATTCACAAGTTTCCCTAAAAGTAAAGTTCTCATTAAATATATTATCAATATATATAATCAGTATTCTAAAAATGAAATGGTTATCTACATTTGATGAAGTCTCTGGTATTGATGACTGAAATTATGGGAAATAACAACTATAATTTTAATCACTGAATTGAATCATTTAGTTTGTGCAAAATCAATATTTGTCTGAGACTAATATGTCAAATGGTCTAACATTTTAGTTATTTCTAGTCAACTATGCTTTCAGAAAAATTATTTGGATCTCATTTCCTGGGAACAGTTCAACTTAAGGTATACTCTGAAACCATCCATCTACATACTTTTCTTATTAGATAACTAAATGAAATCATGTAAGTAATTAGGAATTATCTTTGTAAAAGAATCATTTAATCAGTATATACTTCAGTAAAGTTTGTATGGAATCTTAAATAAACTTACATTCGCCATTAGAAAAGAAATAATCTCTTGTTGTAGCTTGTAAAGCATATGGAAAGCCTAGAATACGACATATTACATTTGCCTCTTTCAATGTCCAGTTATCATCGCATATTGTACCCCATTTGCCATGTCGATTAACTAATACAGTACCTTCATTTTTTGATGCACCATCGATTAGCATTAAATTATCAGCAAAACCTTGATTTTTCAGCTTCGTTTGTTTATTTTTACTTTGAATGTATTTAGATGCATTGTTATTTAAAGTTCTTTCATTTAATGTATATTCCTTTTCCTCAGGTGAATTCCATATAGCATCATAACCATAAACATCATCCCAACTTCGTAATTTTGTTGAAAATCCGTTGACAGATATAAAATTAATAAATAAACTTAGTAAGATGATAAGAATTTTTATAAAATTGTCAAGCATTCTATAATTAAAAATTATAGTTCACAAGAATTTAAATATTTTTATTTATAATACTGATTTGTCTTGTTACAATATAGTTTACTGTTAAAAAAATTAACGATAAGAACCAGAGAAATGTTCTTAATATGTAACTTTAGGTAAGCATCTTATCTGTCTGTCTATTTTGCATTTAAACAAAGTATTATTTATACAACATATAACATCACTATGGTAATATAGATAAGCTAAGTAATTTGCATGTGCAAACAAATAGAGTGTTGATGGTAGCATATAATAAAATATAACGAGTAGTGTAATTGAATAAATGAATAGATCAACTTATTCTTTCATTTATCTCAGCCACCAATCAGGTTACAACGGAACTCCACTCATTAGATATTGTATGACTGATATATATACTAAGAGAAATACAATCCAGGGTTTCTTTCAATAGACTACTTCGACATTTCAGAAAGCAATATAAAAAAAATTTATGCAATATAGCAAATAAAGTAGTTTTAGTAAGCATATTAAGACTTCAGTGTTGAAATATTTGATCGTTTCCAGCTAGAATCTATATTGGTTACTTTTCTTCGGAAAATATAGATAATTGTAAGTAAGTTATCCTTGAAACTTAAGGAATAGACTAAAGAAAAAAGATTTATTTTAAGACATGCAAGCATCGTGAAATGGTTAATGAGAAAAAATCCGAATACATAGAAAAACACGAATTTCATTTCATTATCCTTTAACACAAAATACTCAATATATTTCATTCTTTCTTAAGTTACGAACCTTTTGTTATTCATTAAATTGGTACATTTTTAGGTACTCTTATGATAAATTGTGAAATCCACTAAGAGTTGTTCATCCTATTTGACTGGATTTGATTGCACTCGTGTTGATGTTCACATTAAAACCTTGACTCGATGCTCACATTAAAAACACCAAGGCGTTATCTGCTTAGTGAGCTACTGAACTACCAAATTATTTAAAGAGTATAGTATTTATAGTACATTGTATGAGTCAATAGTTTATCCTTGTTGATTCTCAATTTTTCGTCAATCACCTTCTACTAGCATATAAGGTCTTTGAAACGATGCCTTAAAATTTTCAAACTTTCTAAATTTGAAAGTTTTTAGGAGCACACTAGGTGCAACATCTTTTAAAAATAACTTTCTAGTGTTTGATATGAACGTGAACGTCAGCAATGAGATACAGTACTACTAGTTAAAGGGTTCTCAAACATTAACTTCATTTAGGAATTTAATGTGAAAATATGATCAACTTATGAATTTACTTTGATATGTATTTATGTTATTGTTTCGGTGCACTTTTGTCATTTATTAAAGTGCAGATGTGTAATTAATTCAATCTCGAAAAAAAAACAATAGAACGGTACAAGTCCAAATTTTTACAACCAACTGGAATGCACTTTGTTCTTTAAATATATAGAACATGATGGGTTAGCGGCAAATAAGCTATCTGAAAAAGTTTAAAAGTGTGCGAATTATTTAATGAATATCTTGTTATAGGTAAAAGTTTTCTGTGAACGCAATAAGCTAAGAAACTTGAGGTTGTAGTGTAGTGTGACCAAGTTTTAAGTGTCTGAAGTTAACTAACAAATTTTTTTGATTTCGTTTTTATGACTTGTAATTTATTATTAGAACGTATTTACAAGTTTAAGAATATTAAGAATTCTTAAATGGTTTAAATCTTTGTTTGTCAGCTCAGCGGTTAAAAACTTTACTTGAATCTTATAGACCTTTGTTAAAAAGCACCAAGCTTTTTTCTGACTTTATCCGTCACCTGCCTTTAGTAAAAACTACCAAATTAGGCAGTTGCTGACCTCGGAATGGTAAGTGTTATAACTTGTGACATGTGTGCCCTGTTTATTGTATAGCGTAACGATACTGCCAATTAGAGAGCAGTGAATTATCGATCGGAACGATGAGGCATAAATCCCATGCAAGCAGTCTAGAGTCCTGATTGGTCCTACTTTCCGCCTAGCCCAGCCAGTTAAGTCCAGAACACCAATCTCAGCCTCTGCGATATGAATCATTTATTTCAAACATACTGGGTTTATATACCAACCAGACGGATCACATCGTGCCATAAAATATGAAACAACATTTGTACAAGAACTAATCAAATGTGGACGTGAATGAGAGAGGTAGTAATTAATTGACAGGGCATAATTCAAGAATGGTAAATCGTATAATAATAGTTCATAGGTCAAAATAAAGCTCATAATAAGAGAGACACGAATATGAATAGTTTAGTTATTTAACAATTATACGATAAAAATATACGCATAGTATCGCTTCATAAATGGGTCCCAAAAGTTACCATTCATTATGCTTATCGAGGCATAACAGTAAGAAGGACAATATTTTCAGTTTTAGGCACCTACATTTGTTGTCTGTGTACAAACTGAGGGTTATGCTTCACGATGATTGATAGGTGTAAGTAAGTAGTATATTATCTGAATAAAATAAGAAATAAGTCGAGGCTTCATTCATAAAAATACATTCAAACAAGCTTCGTCAAATGCTAAACAGAGAATAACTGCTTAGACAATACAGAGATACAGTAGGCTATATGCTTTGAGAATTTCAAACTCATGATGTTAATTAGTTCATCGGTACAATGTCTATCAATCTACCTTCTCTGATTAAGTTAATCAAATCTATAAAGTGATGATAATCTTTAATATTTGCTGAAACAGTATTTTGTAATCAGCATCCATAAAACTAAACCAGAATATTCTGAGCTTTTATAGAGTGTTTACTTTACACTCATTAGCTGATATTTTATTAAATGGATGGCGAATGCTGGTGAGCGGCCTATGTTCCTCACGAGGAGTAACAGGCGTAAGTAAGTATCTTAATATCGTAAAGTCTATATTTCACTATACATGGTCAATTTCATTTTAATAACAAATATACAGAATGTAGGTATTAAAGACTTCTGATATTCCGTGAGCAAAATAGCTTATCATGAATTTGTCATAGCAACAAAAGTTATATCTGTTTGTCATGAAATTTTCATCAATCCTTTTTCATGGAAAGATATGCTTCATTATAAAATTTGGTGAAGTAACGGTGAGGAAACATTAGTCAAGTGATGAGAATTTTCATAGTAAAAGCAAGTGGTTTACATTTATGTATACATTTGTACTATTATATAATGTCCTCTAATACATCATTTTAAAACGGAATTAAATCAGTAACTTGAGTATTATGGTAATTATTAACATCCATGACTACATACATGCACAGATTCATTAATTCAGACGTGAATAGTTTGGTTAGTAATTACATGCATTTAATTACTAATGTCTGGCAACTAGATATAGTATTTTTTTGGAATAAGTTGTGTTACTGAATTAAGACATCAATAAATTAGGATTATATAGATTTTTTTTATGTTCTTTTATAAGTCAGGATAAATTCAATTGAACTTCGGTAAGATTTGTTCTTGATCTAGAGTACTAAATAAATCAATTTTACTATTCAAAGTTGGATGAACTACTTATTAAAACCTAATAATAATAATAATAATAATAATAATAATAAATTGTCTTACTTTTGTCCACAATTTAGCACCAAAAAAGTGAATAAATAGTATTTACTACGGATGACCGAACGTTGAAGGAAAATGGTTTAAGATTATAATTTTAACAGTCGAATTCACGAATCTAACTAATCTAGACCACCGTTGGAAACCTGGAAGCACTGAAAGACCGTTTCGTTCTAGCATGGGGCCCCTCAGCAGTATGCAGCCACGATCTGGCACGCAGAACTCGAGCGCAGGACTTTTGGTCTCGCGCACCAACGCCTAAAATTTAGACCACTGAGGCAGCATCAAATGGTATTAATGTCCAAACTTTAATAAACCTATGATCTTGCTCAACCCTTTATTCATTGAATGAGGCGTATAACTGTATCGCAATCGACATCGGATGGACTCCATTAATCAAGGTTTCTTACTAGAACTCCAGGAAATCCGTTTTGAATCTAGTCACCGGTGAGCACGTAATTATTATCAGTATGGGAATTTGCGAAGATTGCAGTATTTTCAATGTTGAAGTGTTTGCGCGACATTGAGGGTCTTAGGGTCGAGTCCGGCGGGCTATCATGGATGCGAACTGCAGTAGAGTCCGCTCTAGGATGAAACGACCGTCCAGTGCTTCCAGGTTTTCAATGGTGCTCTAGCTTAGATAGACGTTTTTAAAAACTTTTCTTCATGTACCTAGTGAACCCATTGTGACCTGCTCAACAATCATAACATTCCCCTAACTGTATAATATTGGTTTGAGTAACACAAACTTTTCAGATCACCCTTCAAGACCTATTCAAAATTCAGGGAGTTGGCGGAGTAATTTGATGTAGTTCAGTTTCCTGTGTTCTTTTTGTAGCTGCTTAATTTAATTGTTTATGAATAGAACAGCTATTATGTCATAGCTATTTGAATTAGTTGACTCTAAGCTAATCATTAGTATGAACTATATTGAGTTTCATTTATGTATGAGTAAGCAATTCTGAAACCATTTAAAATGTATTCCAATATACAGTATATATAATTGAGGAATTCTTTCTGATCATATGTATTCACTTACATTTGTTATTTTAGTCTTTTCAATTAAATATTATCATTAGCTCTAACTTATTCAGCATAACTCAGAACATGTGTTGGTTGCTAACTGATCAACCATTAAGCTTAGTGATTCTCACTGTATTTTGTAAGATACCTATACAAATAACATTGTACTTGCGCTATTGTTTTATTTGATTTTCATTTCGACACTGTCCTGTATACTTTGTGACATCAGGTAAAGCATAAGATTAGGCTTTGAAGTAAGAAACTCCGTAGTCTAATTGTAATCAATATAATCTGTACTGATATACATTCAATTTATTAGCAATGTTCGGGTAACCATTGAATAACGATCGGATTCAGTCAAATGTCATTGGATTGTTCGGTTCAAGAACAAATTAATTTAAGGTAAGGAACCTAATTCATAACGTTTATCTTTGTAGGTGTACAAATCATTGTTTTGTTTAGTTTCAACGATAAATGAATATATTTTGCTTGATATCATAGTAAAGCACAATTATATGAACGAAGAATATTCATTTCAATAATTTCTTATCAGGCCCTACAATTATATATCCAAATTAATAACCCATAAAATTGGTCAGATTTAGTGCAGAGTACACCATTTAAAATCATACCATGTGAATTAAGGATTGTTTGGAATAGAAA